AGCCTGTTTTATTTAAATGCGAACTACTCGCGTAATCTACAGACAATCCTTGGTGTTTATTTTTAGGCCAAATATTATTCCAGACAAGGCTTTTACCGTTCCCGAATAGTGAAAAGCGAAAACATTGATGACCTTTTAGCAAAATATGAAAATGTTATCATAAGCAACATTCGGTTTCCATCAAGATAGCGCAACAGGGCGTGCCTGAAAGAAAATAAGGTCTCGGAAAGCTCCTAAATCCGGCATATGATGGATGTTTTTTAGGATCCTGTGACAAAATATTGCGGCTTAGTCTAGGGTAAAATATGCTGTGCGAATAAAACTACGTATTAAGAGGCAGGTGTATAATACAGATGTGTCGTTGGTGTAATGCAGTGTATGGTTAACAATCAACGAGTCGTGAGTCCAAAATTTTTCTAATCAATTTATAATTTTTCTATAAGACTTTGTCTGGATTATATGGGTGGTAGGAATATCGATATTCCGTCCCGAACGTTTGTTCACAGTTCAGAAATCAGTCAAGTTTAATCGCTTTCGGTTGCGGTCTATGGATTTCCGAATATCCAAAGCAAAAATAGGTCGACTGCGAATTTAGGATAGAAGTTATATGCCCTTATCTGTACTTCTTATGCAAAAATGTATGTATAATTTAAAAAATATCGTCGTTTTTTTATGTTTCACTTGTGAGCCCTTTTCACACTTTGCCAGTTATCTATAATCCTTTAGTTTATTTTACTATTTCATTAAACGTTTTATAGGTGGCTTGAAATCAATGTGTGTCTCCCCGTGACCACGGCTGCTGCAAAGCATCCGAAACGTCGGGCCGAAGTTAAAAATCATTTCCAAATAAGTTTAACTAATATATTGCGTTTTAAACCGTTAAAGTGTTTTATTTAAATCAATGTGCCTACTTTCTTTATCAAAATCAAATCTAATCAATTGAGATATATATGATAATTCATACCTTTAAACTTAACATGATAAGATTCTTCTAGAAAACTGCTTGTGCATAGGACATTATACTCACATTTTTAGTATTTAATTCAATGTTACATCTTGTATTCTACCAAAATCGTATTATTTTTGTTTTATTCAGTGCTTTAAAGTATTTAAACAAACAACACTCCCGGGGTTTATTGGCAACGTTTGGTTAAAGCCTGTATAAAATCCATTAGCGAGGATTTGTTGTAGATGCTTTTAGTAGGAATTTCAGGTGAACTAAATGCCACCCGTTGGGTTGGACAACAATTAATTTTTATTGTGTTACTCCTTGTAAAAGGTTTGAAATTAAGTAACACAGCGTCTTAAAAGTCTACGATGTTATATACAGGAAACTTGAAATATTTTCAAGCTAAAAAATTATTGTACCTACATTTATTGTTACGTTAAAAAGTTAAAAAATATAGTTTATCAAAAATCAAACTTACCAAGAAATAAACGTGATGATCTTCATCTACAAAGCTATCTCTAAACGTAAAGTTTTATCTCAGAAAGAGATATAATCCATTTATTCTTACGAGGCATTTTTGGTAAACAAACACACGATATTCATGGAATTTTGATTTTCTTACAAGGTTTACATTAATTCATACTATAAACACTTTGAGACACTGGATTATATTGTATTAAACTAAAGAATTCACCTCGAATTCACTTAGTAAAAACCACAATTTAATGCTAAAATTAATATAAAATCCTAAAACTGACTTTACAAAAATAGACAGATTAAAATTTTGTTAAGTTTGAAGCGAGAAATCGAACTCACGATCGCGATTACGATCGCGCATTTATTATTTATTAAAATCAAAAACAAAAGTAACAAAGTGTTATTATTTATTTATTTATTTATTTATTTAGTTATTAATTGTTTATTAACCAATAATTCAACAATGAATTAAGTACAGATTTAATTGCTTTTCTCACTATCATTACTTGATTCCTCGGAGACGTGGATAATAAATTGAAGGTCGTCGGATGCTGCATACATAATCTTTGTTGTCCATAATGTTTACCAATATGTAGTATGATAATATTGGTAAAGTTTTGTAAAAATCTATTACATTCCACGTTTTTACGTATCAAACGTCTCTAGTTACAAACTTTTGTATTTATAATATTAATAAGACTTTAGGATTAAAAAACTATATATATATATACTCTGAATATTAAAAATTACTATTAAGTAATTTTTATTCTATATATATAATCTATGATTCTTCTTTCCTGTGTCATCTGCGGCATTAACTACATACACTCTATAAAAGCTTCACTAGTTCTCTCTGGTTTGAAATCGGCCATATTTGTTGTGGTCTTATGCCAATTAAGATAAAACCGAATGTATACCGTTGCGGTCTTTCACTATGATAACAGACTGGCTGGAGAGAAAAGAAAAGAAAAAACTAAATGTCATTGCCGGTACCATATATAATAGTGTTGCTTCATTAAGCGCACATAAGGACAGAAAAAAGTCTTTCTTTAATACTATTTAGTGATTATAAATGCCAGCACAGAATAGGTGTTTAAGTAGAGTAATAGAATTCCAGACATATTAAATTTAAAGTACAGCGCCAAGCCAAAGCCACATAAGATACAATTAAATCGCGTTTTGTGACAGAGCTCGGCACTCGGCGGTCGGCTGTTACTTATGTAACACACTTATCTTTCGAAAAGGCTGTGTTGCTTTGTATTCAGAATGATTGTGAAGGTAGTGAGACAGGTGCAAGCTGATGTATGACTTTTACATGCTCTTTGTACCGGAATCGCGAATCCAATTTTCCAACTACCAGTCCTCTTGTGAATTCAAAACGCGGAGGTGAATTTTGTTATCCTGCCAATCTACACAGAACACTTACTATGTATTTTTGGAACGGTTTGAAGATTTTGTTCCGGGAACAGGCGAACTGTTCGGTGGAAACGCTGTCTCTGTGTTTTGATATGAAAGGCTAGATTTAAAATCCGATGAAATTAAAAAATGGTGTAATACCGAAGTTTTTTATTTTTTAATACAACGAAGTACATCTTCACCATTTATTAATTACGATAGGAATACCAGACTTCCAACAAAGAGTACTCTTGTAAACTATTCTTTTCGTTTGGTAGAAAAAGGTCAACTCTTCACATAAAACTATCCAGACAATGTCGTTCCGTATGTACTAAACAAGCGAAAACGAATTACTTTTTGTGGCAACGATCGAATAAAGGTGATCGTCTACTATTGCATTAAAAATTATACATTACAATTGATCATTTTTTTATTTCATGAAATGTAGCTATATATAATGTATATATAATAGTTTTTAAAAATTGATACGATTATCCTAACAAAACCGTGAAAATTACGCTCAATTATCCTAAAAGTACACGGATTAGCAGTCACCTTTAACATGACGGAAACATCTGTTGTATAACGTAATAGCCAGATATTGTGCCAACAGTCTGGCAATACCTCCTTAGACACAAGGTGCAAACTGTTACTGGGAGATTTGAAGATTTGCATTATATTAAAACGTCAAAGAGCGATGGAGACTTACCGCTACATATTAGTACGTTTGAATAACTTTAAACAGCAATATTACTTGAGACTGCTATAGGTAGAGTGGCCTATAAACAAAAACATGATTTTCAATAAGAAGGAAATAAAGATGCACAATTAACTTAGGCGAAAATGAATTCAACTTTTGATTGTGTAAAAAATATGTTCATAATTTTCGGCCACTGTGCTTAACATTTTTGGACTATGAAAATATAAATAACTCAAGTCATAAAAATTGCAGTTAGGCTACTCTGTCTCTAGCGGCCTCAATTGTTTTTAGTTTGATAAAAAAATTGAAAATACGGGGTTAAATTGATAATAGGTGTAATACCCAGACTTTTAGAATATTTTGCAAATCCACAGACAATCCGAAACGCGATTACACCTCTCGGCTTTTTCATTTGTGGACTGTGTGGTGGTTTGTGAATTCGGAATTACGATATTACTACCATTTTGATATAATTATGTATTTTCCTTCATTCTAATATAAGTATCCGTATAACCTGAAAATAGAATTCGTTTTAACAGATATTAATCTTGTTACATTATCTTGAAGCGTGGGAGTGAGTGAATAAAAAACTGGATTATTAAATAATATAAATGTATTTGGCATAAGATTACGTCTTAAATAGATTCATACAAATATAAAGTCGGACAAAACAAGTGGTATTGCATTATATTAGAAGTGACAGACACTTCTAATTTCTCATTCTTTTGCTTCAACCTTGCGCTGAAAATAAATTGTCATTAATATACATTATTGTAGCTATTACTTCTAAAAAGAGTTTAAAAGATCTAACCAGGCAATATACATCAACAAATTGCTCTTAAGCCTACTACGTTTTTTTCGAATCCGACCTGAAAAAATACAAACAATTATTATAATACTGTCTGTAGTTTATGCGAGTGTACTATTCGTATATATTTAAATTTAAAAAAAGCGGGGAGGCGCTGATCAAATAAGTTTAACTTATTTGATCAGCGTGTTCAGTGATCAGTGACCACGGTTGCTGCAAAGCGTAGTTAAAATAATTTTCAAATAAGGTTAACTAATATAATATATCGCGTTTTAAACTGTTTTATTTAAATTGTTAAATTTTTAAATATATGTTGACTTTTACTTGCCAGCGATTACATATATGACTTTTAATGAAGTTTTAGGTAATGTGTAGAATAATGTTAACTTTATTTCAGTTTACACATTATCACTGTTTCGCTGATTTACTATTTATGCGAACGATACTGAATATAAAATAATGAAAATAGATTAGTTTACGCGAAGAAACATTTAAATAAAACACTAACATAAAAATTATTTTAAATACGGCCCGACGTTTTGGCTGCTGTATTAAAACCATTGTAGTGTTTTATTTACACAGAAAATAATAGATAAAAAGCCAATTCTATATCTTGTAATTCTTTACATAGTCTTCTACCTAAAAAAGAATTCTGAATATTAAAAAAAACATTACGTGTCTCCGTGAGCTTCTTCAATTGACTTCACCTTTATATCTGGAGGTTTTGGATAGTGGAAGAAGTTGGGCAGATAATTGTGGTAAGCCAGATTATAAATGTGACTTTCTATGAACTTCTTAAAGTCCTGAGGTTTTGGGTATACTGTTGCGATGCCTGATTAAGAAATAAATTTCAATAAAGATGTGCAAGAACTTATGCCCAATTCAGGCCACACACAGACTAGATACGAATAGGTTGTCTAGTAATTGCGCGATAATATATAAAACCAAATGACTAAATAACCTCACTATTATAATCAATAAAGAAAATAATATTAAATCGAATAACATACAAGTTGAAAATCGATTTTAGATTGAAAATAGGACACGGGCAGGACTTGAGCCGGCATCTACAGGGTTCCGTGCTCTAGCTCTTCAATCGACCTACCGTGTCGAACTTTTTGAACCTATGTAGTATGAGCATTCTCTCTTTTATACCACCGTAGTAGGTATAATTTTTACCTTTATCATACGCCATTTTGCACAGTTCTATTGCAATGGAATACGATACTTTTCTAATATCAGAAAGTGGGGGATATATTCTACCAAGGTTTAAGTCTTCTTCGCTTACGAAATTCGCCAGCGTCTGGGAAAAAAAATAAGCGTTTTGTTATAGAACTATACTATGAGAAACTAGTTAATATGTAGCTGTGAGTAAAATTATTTTAATAATAGTCCATGAAGATTCATGAATGTCCAAAAATAGGTTAACACATCAATATTTTTGTACTAAAGAGCTGTACAGACAACCGTGGAGTTCACAGCCATATAACATCTAAACAAGATGCGCTGTCGAGCTATCTTGGCATTGCATATTCGTAAATCCACAGACTGAAACCGAAACGCGATGAAACATCACGGTTTTTCATCTGTGCCCGGTGGTTCGTATACTGAATTTAGATATACATAGCTGCTGCAGTCCAACATTTTCAAGAAACATTATAAATTGAAATAATGTTGGCCACGATGGGGATCTATACATTGCTACCATTAGACTAACAAGCCCGCCAAAAAATAAGTTTTATAGGCTCGGTTAATTCACCATCCATCAAGTGAAAGAGTCTTCTATCTTAAAATGGTATTATTCAGATCCAAATCTCTTAAATCCACCCTCGTGACAAAGCTTACAGAGCACCCTTTAATTATGCAATTTGGCATCAAACCAAAATGATTTAAAGTTTCATTCATTTTGCGCAATAAATGGGTGGTTTACTGGTTTAAGTTATTATGTCCTTTTTATTCCGACTGTACAAATCGAAACAAACACACTGGACGATTCACAGCTTTTATGAATAACAAAACGCTATCGGAACGGAGCGGAAATTTAATGAAAATGGAACTTCACAATTGCGGCAATGTCAAGTCCAAACAAACTAATTACATATGGACTACGGGGTTGATAGACCGCAGGTTGGATAAATTGACTTTGGTTAGTACATAGTTCATAATAGTAGAATATTTGGTAATAACCACGAAAACTGTTATGTGATATTGTGTATTGATATTTAATAACAAAATAGGTTTAGTCGAAAGCCTGAATCAAGATTACAGGCGCGTCAATATGGCAAGAATATATATATTTTTAGATAAGGTTAAGGATATAATTATAACTATTCACTTTAGACAATTTTCAACATGGCGACATAGGCATAACTGCAAATGACATCATACTCATGTATGTTCTTACTTTTGTGAATATTATAAGATTGTCACATTACCTATTACTGTAATAACAAGATGTGCTGTATGTAATACGTAAAAATTAACGAGGATTGTGCTTTTTGTACATCGCTATAGAAGTTTAGTTCGGTTCGCTCGGTAACGGTAAGGCCAACCATTACAGTTTTTCTTAATGATAGATGACAAGCATCCCCATACTTGTCTGATGGTAGCCGACATACCTCAGCCTATCTAAACAAGATGCCTGTCGACCTATTTTACCATCTCATAAGTGTAATAAACAGTTTAATAATAAATAGTTACTCTAGCTGCACTTAGGAACATAATCTCAGGTATGATGCGCGCGCGCACAGCAATTACGCCCAGCGCTAGGCCGGGAAATATATAGGAATTGTTCCCTTGTCCCGTAAGGTATTGCTTGTCTTTAAACTTGACGGGTGGAAACGGAGATCCAGACGCAAATACACATTTACCCTGAAAAAATTAAACTGGAATTTAATAAAGAATAAATAAAAAAGGGTCTAGCCTAGTACGAAGGTGTTATACCAAGATCTTTAGGGTAACTTGCTGTTGCCGCGACCTCGTCCGGAATAATTATTTTAGGCATTATATTATTTATTTTTGCAAACAACTTCCTCAGCTTTATAATATTAGTATAAATTTATTTCTATTGACTCTATCGTATGTCTACAATCGATATCAATTTGTTGAAAATACCTACGTCTGTGTGATCGTATGCTTCTTGCGCCGTGCACTCTGCTTTACTTGTCGGGTTCGATAGAGCGAAGATAACCGGCCGCTCCGTATTCTGTGCCATTAATTTTAGAATTTTCTCATTGAATGCACCCTTTACTGTTGAGCATCCTGCAATGCGTTCTTTGAAATCACTATTGTTAACAATTAGGTAGACTGTTTGAATTTCTGTATCTCACGCTAGACTTAGTTTAAAAGACGATACAAAATAAGAAACTTTAGAATCGAATTAACTTATTAAATTTATAATAATTAGCTTATAAAATTAGGCTTTCACTACAATTTATCGAAACACGTGGAAATAGAGAAGGCTTTTTTAAAATTGGTGGTGTTAATGCACGACCCCATAATTTTATAGTAGCATGATCTATGGAAGTCTGTTTTGGTCATTATGACAAGTTAAGTTATAATCTGTGGAAATTAAATGTCTGCCAATCATTAAATTTGTATCGAAAGTTCCGGCACAAAAAACAAACCAATCAGACACGTCGGCTTATACTTCGCGACGCACGCTTCAAAATTCTTCTCAGGTTCCACGTCCTTGCCGAATTGTTTCGCGTGGTCTGGTAACCCACTTTCCCTCTTAGAAGACAGAAGACCATCTATGTCGAAAAGATATACGCGGCTCTGCGCTTCCTTCAACTGCATTCCATCTCCTACCATGGCCGCACACGTTAGGTTAGCGATTCCCGTAGCGGCCTAAGCATATATTGTGAGTAAGAAAAATTATAGTTACAAAAAAAAAGACGACCGTATGACGGAACTTTTGAGATTCTTTAGATTTTAACTTGAGTACAATATTATTGTTTGTTAAATAATGTCACGTTCAACATAATATAGTAAAATAAATCCGTGCAAAAGTCTACATTTTTGTTCAGTTCAAACCTTGGCCATTTCACACGTAAATGCAGGCCACACTTTTATAACAAATAAAGTTTCTGTGTAGTGTAGGCGATTAGGTATTATATTGTAGTCTGGAACTCATAAAGCCTAGGGCATGTGCAATGTTAACAAGATAAAAGAATATCAATGATATGTTTGATATTGTGTGCAGGATGGATACGATTTTAACTTTTAACGGTTAAAATCGCGTTAGTTAACTAATATTGAATTTCTTTAACTACGACAAGACGCGGTTGTTTAGGAAATTTTACAGCAGTCGTAATCACGGAAGGGCGGAGTTTAAATAGATAAAAAAATAACTAAGTTACTTTTGGGTTCTCTGTTAATTGTTGAACTGTTTGAGATATGCCATACTGTACTAACAATTAATTGCCATTAATTCTATTGTTTATTAATGACACTTAAGTGCTCCAGGTTTAGTATGTCAAGTACGCATTACGCTTAGTTAATTTGAATGTATAAGCGATCAAAGATAGTGTTGTGATTAGTACTCTATTGACTATTACCATGTTAATATTATCACCTTTGACTTCTCCATGACTCAAAGATTAGGCAGACTTACTATTGCTCGAGTTTTTATCGTATAAAAAAATAGTTTTAATTAAACAAAAATTTTCAATTTTATTATTATAACGAAATATATAAATCGTAAAATTTAAAAAGGAATCTGTTTATAGAATAAGAGTAGGTAAGAAATGCATATGTTAGTAAAATATATAATTTAAGTATATACAGATGCCGCCAGTCACGTTTCTTAATAGAATATGGCTAGGCATGTTCTGAGCATATTTGTAAAATTTAAAAAACATCGGAACAGTCGTTTAAGCGCAAAAATCATCTGAATAAAACACTAATAACGTTTTAAAATGCGTTAATCTTGCCGTTGGCAACATCCGAAGTACAGCATGGTCATGGGGAATCTCCCGCTGACCGCGACTGCTGCAAAGTATCGAGCCGTAGTTAAAATAATTTCATATTCAAATGTATCAATTACGTTCAACATTTCGCGCTTCGAACCGTTAAAAGTGTTTTATTTAAATGTGCACTACTTGCTTAAACTACAGACATTACTTGAAACAGTACTTAATGATAATCACTAAAAACTGAGAAGCGTGATTTAATTTCCTTTGACCGTTTACTGTTTTAGGGAATAGTTTTATTACAGTGATTAAAATGGACAGGTGAAGTTCACTCAGAAATTGTAACACTAAATCAATTACAAAACTCAATAATATTTACTAAATTTGGTAATTAAAATCTCCGTTTATACTCATACTAACCGAGCCAGCGCCCAGAAACATATAAGTGTATTCCGTGAGTTTTTTCTTAGTTATTCTAACAGTCGCCAGTAGACCGGCTACTGCGACGCTGGCTGTTCCTTGGATATCGTCATTGAAAGTGCAGTACAGGTCCCGGTACTTCTCTAGTAGACGGGTCGCATTCGCTAAAGCAAAGTCTTCAAACTGTAAGAGGCAACAAGCAGAATTGAATATTTAAGAGATAAACTTACCGAATGTATAGATTTTAGAATCTCTTTGAAAAATCTTCAAATTCTTAATCTACTATAATATATAATGCTAACTTGGGCCGTATAGAAGCTAACAGGAACTACCGCCTCGAATTGAAAAAGTATTTCGCGTTGGTTAGAGCATTTATCGAGAAAGACATCTACTAAAACATCAAAACGCGACCAATAAGAGCCAAGAATCAGAAATGTGATGAACATTATATGAGAGTCTCCGTTGTATGCACTGCGTTCAAGGTACCCATTTCTAGAGTGTATAAAATAATGATTTATCTTTAAATTATCTAAGCATAATATGTCCGCGATACTATAGCTCGTGTCGTCGTCGTCTATCTTTTAAGACTCACTTGGAAGAACGAATGAGACTGAAGTCGTAGGTAACAACTATAATTTATAAGGAGGGGGGGTTTCCAAAAACAAATTTTGATGCCTAAAATTACTAACTACGACTAATTATTAATTTTACGCAGACGAAGTCGCTAGCACAGATAGCTCTTTCTAATATTCGAATGTAATAAAATACAAATAGCGAACACCTAGTTAATGAACGATTATAACCCACATTTTCTAAATAGAAATAGAGTGATGCCTACTTGAAGAAGAATATTCGCTCCGAATCTTTTAACGCACGCTTCCATGAACTCATTGACGAAGTCATCGTAATCTTTGCCTCGTACCCTCCTCTGGCGCAATCCAATGTAAAGTGGATCTTCTAGAAGAGTCTGTGAAGAATTGTTTTATCGAATTTTAAAAAAGGAAGCTTTGTAGGAGTTTAGAGCTGGTAGATGTTGACCGTTATCAAAAATAAATATAATTGGAAGTTTCTGCTATTTTCCTTAACTAATCTATATTGAAAACGAAGAACATAAATAACTTTTTAGGCGTTTTCTTTGTATTTCTTTCACATAGAAGTACTCCACAGCACTTGTACAATTTAAAGCTCATGTTTAATTTTGTTTTTAACTCCACTAATAGGTAACTCGATCTCAAGAAGCCCTGACGTCATTGAGTCGTAAGTAGGTAAGGCATTTTAAAAACAATTTTATTCTTTTTGAAGGTATAATGTTGGGAGTTAAATAAAATTAAACCTATCTATAATTCAAACACTTTCTCAAAAATAGTCAACATTCCTATTAAGTTACAGCAAGTATGTATAACTTTTACTGTAAAAAAATATCTCCATAGATGCAAATATAATTAATAAAAGCTTTGATCGTTAAGTTTTAAAAGGTAATACAATATTTACCATGTCCATTATACACGAGCACTTAAATTATTCAATATAACAATTAGAAGATAAAATTGATACCGTCTACGTTATTTTGTTAAACATAACGCAGTCCGTGATGGAATTTGCTCATCTCTTTTCAGACAATTTAAATGCATGAAGGCGGACCGACCACGCTTCACTGTCTAACTTAATTTGAATCTCGCACATTTAAAAATTTCTGTGATTACGCTCGAGTTGTGAAACTAAGTGAGAAGTAAGTCAACATCCAAGTCACAATGTTTACAGTGGCATACTACTTGTAATATATAGAGCGACAATCGTTTTGTCGAAAAAAATATATCACAATTAATCCAGCCATTGGAAGTGTAATAACAAACATACATCTAGCCATACCTTGATTTATAATGGAGGCATAACTGAAAATCGGCATTGTACGGCACTTACAGATACAGCAAAAGTTGAGTTATAAAAATTTAATGTAAATAACTAATTTATTATATTAGTTTATCTAATTTGTTAGTGCAATAAATGGTTTTATTATTATTATCATTTCGATGTTAGCCCCTCTATAAAACCTGTTAACGATTCAGTTTTTGCAATATTAATATCAGCTTATAGTTTGAACCTAAAGCTAGACTAAGCTTTATACTCTGTGGCTATGTTACTATATAAGGGAGTAAACTTTTATAGTATCGGTTCATTACCTGATTCTCAGTACCTACATCCAAGGTGATCGGCAGACATTGATGCGGTTTGATGCCCGCTAATGCAGTGTATAATGCCAATTTGCCCACGGGAATTCCCATGCCATAAGCACCAAGGTCACCTAGACCGAGAATTCTCTCGCCATCGGTGAAGACAATTGCGCGTACGTCTTGTTCGGGCCTGAAATTGTTGTTATTTTAGAGGTAAAGATTTATTTTTCATATAACATATGTCACAGCTGTTGCATTATTATTATTATTTATAGTTTAAAACTTTAAACAAACGTATTGTTATTGCACGTGATGGCGGTATCAGACAGTTTCAAGTCCTGCCAGTGTCTTTTGATTTTTAATAAATATTTATCTATCATTCGGATAAGCACAGATTATAATGTTTAAAAAGTTATAATTTATTTCCCTACCTTCTTACAGTTAACTGATACCTTCAATAGCATAAAGCCAGAATATAAAAGATAAGTTTAAGAATTACGATGCCTCGGGAAGTTTAAAGCTACTTACCAATTCTTCAAAATCTGATAAATATGTCCCCTGTCATTGATAGTAATGAAAAGTCCTCTAGCCCTCTTGTAAACGAGACCAAACTTTTGGCAAGCCAAACCAACTGTAGGCGTGTATACAATCGGCAAATATTTTTCGACATTTTGCGAGATCAGACTGTAGAACAACTTCTCGTTTGTATCCTGATGATACACGACAAAGAAGATTATTAGTCGTCAGAATTATTATCTTAAGTGCATAGTGTACAATGACATGAATTAAAATTAGTTCAATATTAAATACTGTCTATAGTTAACGCGAGTAGTACACATTCAAAATAAAACACATTAACGGTTTAAAACGCGATATATTAGTGCTGCAAAGCATCCGAAACGTCGGGCCGAAGTTTAAAAATCATTTTCAAATAAGTTTAACTAATATATCGCGTTTTAAACCGTTAATGTGTTTTATTTTAAATAGTTCAATATTAAGTACCCACTAATGTCTTTGACCACGGCTGCCGCAAAGCATCCGAAACATCGGGCCGTAGGTAAAAGAAATTGTTAATAGTTTTAAATAATTTAAGAAACGCGAAGATACATTTCGCTTTTTAACCGCTAAATGTATTTTCTTTTTAATGCTTCAATATTATGGAAAATCCAGACAAATATGGGATGAAGGCATGGAGTTCACTTGATGGTGAAATATCTCATATCTCTCTCTCTCTCTGTCATATAACATCTACACAAGAAGCTCGGATCTATTTTGGCTTTGGATATTCACAATATAAATATACACTTTAGGCAGAGAATCGTTCTCTCATCTTGAGAATCGAGTAGGTAAAGATTAAGGTTCTCTATGCTTAACGTTAACTTTATCTACTATGAAACCCGTTTCGCTAAATACTGAAACATTTTACCTGCAATTCAACTAAATACAAATATTTATTCAAATCGAATTTGTATCTTTCCAATGATATTCGACAGATGTTTAGTTGTTCTTCCTGTGTTTTGATCAGCGGAGCTAATAAGCCCTGAATACCAAGCGCTTGTCGTTCCTCCAAAGTAAAAGCAAGGCCCTACAAGAGAATGTGAGTTTTAATAAGTTAAATGAGGCTGATGAAATCTCGTAGCGGAATACAACGTCGATAGAATTTTCGATAGGTTCATGTCATATTAATAAAGTCGTCTCCATAGCTAAATGCTTGAACGTGTTACCAGTATAACGTTACGCACGAGACTCAGGGTTTGAATCCCAGGGAAACAATAGACATTGCAACGGACACAAAAATGTTTTCGCCCCATTCCCCATGTGTGGAAACGAGATTTTACTTTAGATCGTAATCGGGTAGGTTGTATGTCGGTCAGATGTTTTTGTGCTCTATAACGAATATGAAAGTCGAGCAATTTCAGATCCTGTTGTATAACGTGTTGTGGTCGACTTTTAAAAAGATAATTACCTTGTTGAGCCTCGGGTCTCGCAAATGATCTATCCCCCTTATCATGTTTGGTGAAAGACTAATATCGTATTGGCGCGATTGTATTAAGTCGAAACGAAGAACCTTTGCCATCTTCTTGTTTCGTCCGATCGATTTTAAAGAACTAAAAAAGAAATGAGCATAAGGAAATTTATTTTTTATCCGGTTCAACCATGTCTGTCACTACATACCATGGGAATTTCCTAAAAGAAAACATCTCTAAAAAAATATAAAAGAAAGAACGTTTCTAAGAATTCATGGCGGTAACCTGTCATGGTTTCGTTTTCATTTTCCTCTGTCATACATTCTAAAAAGTTTTCATGTCATGTGACGTCTTCATTCTAACCTCTAAAAATAGTGGTAGGAATATACCAAGCTGAACTTCAAACTTTTAATATTTTACATGATGTCATTACATAAATTAAAAATCGATTTTAGATTGCAAAAACAAACAAGGCAGTACTTGAACCGCCATTCGCAGCGTTCCGTGCTGTTGCTCTAACCGATGGAGCTACTGTGTCCTATACGTAATTTTTTTTAACATATTGATATATGCAAGTCTAAAAACTAGTCTCACAATGTAATTTTAACCTTTACACTTGCCTATTAAGTAAATCATTGAAGATGAAAATTCCAGGCTTAACGTCCAATAATATATTTTGACATGTTATGATGGCATTAAATAAATTAAAAATCGATTATAATTGAAGGAAATGTTAAACGTTGTTTTATTTGTGGTATTTGCTCTCAAAGGAAACTAACAGTTAAGGTTTCGAACATTTTAATTAGTAACATACATTCATAATCGTATTTAACAATTTATACTAACATACATAAACAGCTTTCATTCCAGACGAGTTACAATGAGAACGAACGTTTAATTGACCTAACTGCACTTAATCGTAAACCCTGGTAACGAAACACAAGACAAAAATGGCGACGCAAAACATAAATATTTAAATTTGTCAAACAATAAATATGTAGATGTTAGTTCAAAATATTACATTTCAATCGTCACAGCAACATAATCACTATGTATCTTTAGATACAAGTTAAAATAACAACTTAATAGCAATAATTTAATACCTGAATAACTTCGGGTTTAAGTAAAATCTAACGACGACGATGTTGTTTAAGTCCGTCGGGTATTAAATAGATTATTCTTTCGCTCAGCGAATACACTCGTCTTATTATACTGAATACTGAAAACAATACTATTTTATAATTCCGAGTCGAAACATAGTGTCAAATCCGTGACCGTGATCGCTTATAGAGGTAGTTTTAAAATTTGAATAACACTTCGAGTGTCATTTTATCTGAGAACCATTTTACAATCTCAACATGATTTTTATCATTTTCCTATAAATACGCTTTTGTATAATTTATTATTATCACTGGCATTTCAATATAACATAGATATTATTTAAAACAACGCTGCGGTGACTAGACATCGATGTATAAATACAATAGGTTATACAGTTGTACGATTATAATACGCAGGTCTCGGTAAAACATTTTTACTTAAAAATAAAAAGCATAAAAAGAAAAAAAAGTCGATTCATAATACTTGTAGGTCAAACGATTAACAAACATTAATAAATAATACAATAAAACGTGTAAAAGCACTGCGAAGATGCAGTTTGAGAAATACAACCTTCGTTTGCGATAAGCTAAAGGGTAAGTAAGAAAGGACCGCTGAATACAATACAGTGCAAGTGAAGATTTTTTTATGAAAAAGCTAAAACAAGGCCACAATCACATTAATACTAACATCGATTTGAACATTGTCATATGAAGCTACACTACATTACAGAATATTATACGAGGTGACAGCTAAGACTATGGCAATTTGTGAATACATCAATTAATGCCCGCTCAAACAGTTCAGTAATACTATTTTGCATATATATTTTATGTACAATACTTTAGGTGTTATGATGCTAGCGTGGAACTAATCGCATAATCAGACTTGTACAGAACTTTAGTATATAAATGCGTTCTGTTTTTATTCAAATGAGCTGCGAGTGATTGGGCAGGTTAAGTTGTTTGCGACCTTATGTGACGGTAATACATTCGAATATTGAGGAAAGTATTAAAATACGATTTTTTACGCTTCAACTTCTAACAAGTCGAGCAGGTGTCGAGTGAAATATTATATTTTTAAAATAATTATCTATTGCGTAATAAAAACATTTAGTTAAATAATTACTCGAATAGGTATAGAAAATACCCATTTGTATCGTCCTATATGAAGAGAACGGTTTAGTCTCTATCTATCTGCATAGCCGTTAAGGGAAATTCAATGTGTAACATAACGTCTTTAAAACAAGACACTATTATATCTTTGAATGTTTGTATTCCGCCACTAAATGTCTAATTACAGAATGAATTATCTATGTTACATAGGTAAATATAAATTTGTTTGTAAAATTGGACATAAAACCTTCATCGAGGCACGGAACATTTAGTGTCTTCGCCAGTAATTTTTCTAGTTGAACAACAGTTAACATTCTAGACCATGAACGCGGTGACACATTTTTAATTACTAACTTTCAAAATACCAAATAGAAACTTTGTCTAAATTTTAATGGGGCCTTGATTTTACGAGATTTTTAATATTTAAAAAAACGACGTAAGTGTTTTTATCTTAATTCCAACCGCGTACACGTCATAGACAATTGTATATATAGACTATAGTTAATAAAACACGATTTAAATGTTTTTGGGCACAGGTTGGATTGGTCTTACGTTGAATTTCTCTTCTGGTTTCCAGTCCCACACTACTGGCATGGAGCTCTCGTAGTGGAAGCTGTACATCTGGCTGGAGACATGCTTGGAGATATCTTTCGGCTCGGGATAAACGGATGCGAGACCTGAAGCATAAATATACAAGTAAAAAATTGCGTTTATTACCGATGAAATTACTTATTACTTTTTGAATAGGCTTTCGACAATGCGAAAAATATAGCGTCAATTACTGTTATCAGTATAACGTATAAGTTTTAAAATACTAAAACCGTCATAGATGTGAAAAATTGATTGAATAAAAAGTATATTTTTAAAGCATTTATCCCATGGCAGAAAATGCTCCTGATTGGTCGGATTTATGACGAGATCACTTGCTCGTAAACATTGATATATACCGTCCTTACTAGTGTTTAAACAGCTCTAGTCACTGCATTAATAAATAAATAAATTTGTAACTCATTTTTTACTTCGATCACAGTTAAGTGTTTGTTACAAATGCATCTAGATCGTATGATCGACATACACCAAGGTCTGTGACGTCACTAGCCGTATTGCAGCGCTATTTAAATGTTGGATTTTTAATTGATATATTTCAGATAATATGAACCAAAATTCAATAATACTACTTTTCTGGGTTTCCTTAAGATCTACCAAATAATATAAAGTATGTTATAAAAATCAGTCAAGTAGCCCATTAAATGTATTTCAATTGTAATACAATTTAATGTCGAAAATTTTATATATTAAATAACTATATAGAATAGAAATAGAAGAAGAAAAATAGATTTACGATTTTATTACACGCTGCTAGTTAACTATCTTTACATCTAGCTTACAGTCGATGGAAGAAAATTAAGCTTGGAATTAATTCACAGTTCTACAATGTAGTATACTCGTTATATAAAAACAATGTATGCACCTACAAATTACGCATGTTGACTACCCTAGCTGGTAACAGTAAGTACTAGAAATATTTTATTTTGTATACTGCAACATTTTCTACTTTTCTAATGGAGTTTTAAAATATCACACCTAACCACTACAATGATTGGCCGTCTAGCGGAACTAACATATTAGTTTATCGGGAATTTTCTTCCTATACATTTGGAGTAGTTGGGCGTAGGATATTCTGGCCACTTATACACGTCAGGTACCTGGGCCCCGTAACGGCAGTTATATTGGCGAAGTTTGATGTGCTTTTCGAAATCGTCCGGCTTTGGGTACGCACTTCCACAACCTGGTCGGATGTTTGAAACATCGAAATTGACATAGTTATCTACTAATTATTTGGACAATAGAACAGGGCAAGAACGGGATACTTAAACCCTATTATGTACGTCACTGACTATCTCCGGAAATTAAGAACCGCATGTTCTGACCCTTTTGGAGGATATAATTTCAACGGCTTGAAACACTAGACACTCAGTAATATTTTTATTTCGTCAATAATAGGAACTTGACGCTCTCATAAAAACAATATTTTTAATAAATAATAAATAAAAGTAAATATTTGGAGATTTAGCCCATTTTTCGCTTCATATGAACAAATAGTAACAGGTAGGCCCGTGAAATAACAAAAAAAAATTAAATATGCCAATTATAGTAAATACACTTGTCCCTGCGATATCGATTCGCACTTGGTCGGTTTTATTTAATAAAATTTATATAATTTTATTTTTTACCATCTTAATTAAAGTAGACATTTACCTTCATCATAAGCCATCTTCGCGACTTCGATGGCAATAGCGAGAGATACCTCCTTCACCTCCGACAGGGATGGGTAGATGCGTCCAATGTTAAGGTCCTTTTCGCTCACGTAATTTGCAAGAGTCTGAAATTGCAAAGGTAAACGTTTGAAAGTCACGCGGAGACACGTTGGGCCGTAGTTAAAATTAATTTCAAATAAGTTTAAGTAATACATTTCGCGTTTTAAACCGTTTTATTTAAAAAAAAAAAAAAAGTATAAAAAGTATTTATTCAGGAACCATATTTACATTAAACTGTTTTTGATCTGTAAACCCTTTTAAGTAAATAATACCTGTGACAGGGTTTCCAGCTCTTCCATATCATTTAATAATACATTATTCCGTATCCCTAAATAATTAAACATGCTTTTTTATTTATTTAAATAATATTGGTGTGTGTGTATAAGTATGTGAGTTGATGTGATGTGTGACTTGATGTGTATGGGTGTGTGAGAAAGTGATTGATCATGAGGATGTATGATGATTTAACTGGGATTCTTCAATATATTCTCTAGCTGATTATAGCTTACACTTTTTAACCATTTGCTAGCTAATATTTTAACTTCTCGAAGCGTGAGTGGATATATATTTAGAAGCTTATTTAATTTGTTGTACAAATAAACGGATTGCACACAATAGTTACGACCAGCAAAAGCTGTTTTGACTGCAATCTTGTCGACAATATCTTTCCTTCTCTTTTTTAAAATATCTTTATCAAATATTAGAGTACGGTGTTTTTTAAGAATTGTATTTAAAACATATAGCTTTCTAACGGACAGCAACCCACTTTGTTGGTAAAGCTCTTCGGTTGGGAATCTGTATGGCAGCGAGTACATTACTTTTAAAAGACCCCTCTGTCCCCGTTCCAATTCTATCAACTTGGTCTTTGCGGCTCCACCCCAAATTACAATACAATAATTTAAAACTGACTCTGCTAGGGTTATGTAAATCTTGTTAAGCAGTTCTTTGGTAGTCACATGCCGCAATGTTTTAAAAATCCAAATTAACTTTCTTAGCCTATTTGACATCGCTTCTAATTGTGAGTACCATGATAAACGGTCGTCAATGTATATACCAAGATATTTAGTGTTGTCTACTCTTTGTATTTGTGGACATGAGCACCTATTTACTTCCTCCATGTTACATTTATGAATTTTAATATTTAAGTTGTTTTTAGGTTGCGTTTTATTACTAATTTTAAAACATATATAGTTCGTTTTACTTGTATTAAGTGTTAAAAGATTCAGATCTAGCCATTTAGCAATCTCAGATAATCCTTGTTCAGTACTTGTACATACTTCATTCCAAGTACGACCAGAGAATAAAACTGCGGTATCATCTGCATAAGTAAAAACATGACCATCATGAGGATTGAAGTTGCACAAGTTATTTATATAAATAAGAAAGAGGGTTGGACCTAGAACGCTTCCTTGAGGAACACCAAATGTGACATTCTGCACGTCACTGAGGTATTGACTAACCTTAACTCTTTGTGTACGATCTGTAAGATAATCCTCAAAAATTTTCAAAGCTATACCTCTAATGCCAGACTGTTCTAGTTTAAGTAAGAGCAGAGGGATAGAGACAGTGTCAAAAGCGTTTTTCAGATCAAGAAAAACTCCGATACATTTCCTTCCTCTATCTAAATTATCAACCACTAGAGAAGTAAATTTTGTTATAGCATCTTCAGTTGATTTTTTTTGCCTAAAACCATACTGTGAGCTAGATAGTATGTTATATTTGTTAAAATAATCTAAGAGTCTACTATTTAACAACTTTTCTAGAATCTTGGAAATAGCAGGAAGAACTGAAATAGGTCTATAACTGTTTACACTGTCTCTATCACCTGATTTAAAAATGGGTGTTATTCTAGATTGTTTTAGTTGTTTAGGAAAAATACCTTTGTGAAAACATAGATTAGCTAAATGACATATGATAGGTATTAAAAGGACTCTGGCTAGTTTTAGAAATCTAGGAGGGATATTATCCCAACCAGGAGCACTGTCTGGTTTCAAATTTCTAAGTATGCAATCAACCTCTTCTGGAGAAACTTCAAAAAGAACAAATGAGTGACAAGAATGCGTGGAAGGAACAGCTGACGTGTTATTTTCAGGAATAGAACTCATTGAAATTTTTTGAGCAAGTTTACAGCCAACATTGGCATAGAAGTGATTTACTTTGTCTACTGATTCTAAAGGTGAAGCTGTTAAATTTAATAATTCATAGTTATTTTGTATTTTATTTATATGTATAATATTTTTAATATTCTTCCATAATTGCTTCTGATTATTGATTGAATTTTGTATTTGTGAACGTTCATATTTCCTTTTCATCTTTTTAATTAAATTATTACAAAAATTTCTATATCTTTTATAAGTGACCAATAAAATTTCGTCTAGTTTATTATTCTTAGCTGCCTTTTGCATTTTATTTCTCATTTTTATACATCTTAAAATGCCTGGTGTAATCCAAGGCTTTAAAATTCGTTGATTTTTAGATATTGGGGTCGTCTTTGTATTTTCATTAAGAGCTTCTTGTAGTTTTAAAGTTAATCTATCGATAAGTATATTTGGATCTTCACACAGTAAAAGTTCTTTTAAATTTTTATTAGCCAATGATATGACAGCTTTGTCTAGATTTGTATATTTTTTTTTGTTTTTTGACATTCGAAAGGATTACCTTTTTTAACCTTTTGTAGGCTTAATAATACCATATTATGATCAGTTATAGATGTATTCAGCACAGCTACTCTAGGTGTTGTATTTTTACTTTCTATTTTTATCATAAAATGGTCAAGGCAATTTGGGAATCTAGTAGGCAGTGTGTGCGCGGGCATAATGCCGTATATTGTTAACATATCAAGATAAATTTGCCTATTTGAACGATCAGTAGTATTTTCTTTCTCAGAATAAATTAGGTTTATATTAATGTCACCAGTAATAATAATATTTTTCTTATTTTTCATTTGTTCTAAATGTAATTGTAAGGAATCCACAAATGTTGCACTATTCGGAATAGAGGGAGAACGATAAATACCTAGCAAGATATAGTTCAGCACTTCAATTTGTAAACAAGATGACTTATCTAATATAATTTCTTTTACTTTAGGCTTTAGAGTATTCTTAACATACGCAACTACCCCATCATTTTGATTTAATAGATTTAAGGTGTAAAAAGAAGTATAATTGTGCAGTTGGGGAATTGGTTTTATAGTATTTAATCTACATTCAGTAAGGATAATAACATCTACTTGAAATTTAAAACTATTTAGTGTTATCTGGAGGTCATCGATATTTTTATAAATGCTTCTAATATTTTGAGTTATTATTGTTAAGTCAGATTTATCGTGTATTACATGTTTCTGTAAATTTTCCACGTCACATTCCACTGATGAATATGTAGCAGATGCATCTATCTCATTCATAGTTATAAGAGTACTATTATCCATAATTTACATAAAAAAAATATTGAATTCTCTATCAATACCTCTTTTAAGGTTGGTTGAAGATTGTATATGAAATAAGTAAGCCAATCTATAAAAAGGATGGAAGCTAGACTTTGCCCAGTGGTATATGTGTATGTGATTGTGTGGTGTAAGTATAAATGGTTAAATTTAGAGTGAGAGTTTGAGTAGAAATGTGTGATTATAGGAGACTGTAAGTTTAAGATAACATAAACAGAAGATATTACTAAGAATCGAAAACATACAATTTTTATATTCGATGCTGTTTCCATAGCTGCCAGGCATAGTCAACTATCTTGCATGATTTTTTGAGCCTGAGCTTCATTCTTTAATAGTATAATAGCCGCGTTTTCATTTTTTCTGAGGTATACTTTGCCATATGCTGTCCAACAAAATTTGTAAGACTTTGTCCTGACTACCTCTTTCCCTAGGTAAAGAAGCCTGGACGCTTTTGGTGTTAAATTTTCAGACACATATATTGGAGTATCTTCGGCTGTACGAAATCCCAAATGCTTGGCACATAACTTCGATTTATGTTTGATATTAAAAGCTTTGCTCATTTTAATTACATCATTCCTTAGTGTGGTAGACGTGGTCTCCACGATTACAGGTGTGTTATTAACTGCATTCCTTTTGGAGCGACCTCTGTATATGTCCTTAATGTTAGATTTGTCCATATTACAGCCAATGTTTCCAAAAAGACATGATACCATGGCGATCAGGTCCTCTTTTGTTTCATTCGACTTTATTGGTACATTTTTTATTTCAAAATTACACTTCCTCATCCCTTTTTGCATTTCTTCAATTTTATCTTCCAAAGATACTATATATAAACGATCGTCTTGTGATTTACGTTCGAGTTGTTCGATTTTGTTCTTATATTCTTCATTTTGGGCCATAAGAAAAGCAACAGAGTTCTCAATACTTCGATTAGTGTTTTGTATCTCTGTGAGGGTAGGAGCAATTTTTTTAAATTCTTCATTCTGTGCTAATGACATGTTCGTCATAAGAAGTTTTATTTCTTCCTTAAAATTTTTCAATTCGGTTACCCAATCCTGTTCTTCCCTTTTTCTTTTAATGCGGGTAGAAACGAATGTGTGTGAGGGAGGTGTTGTAAATGTTGTATTTCCAACATTGTTAAGATCCGTTTCTGATAACGATTTATTGAATTCATTGCGCTGCGAAGAACCGCCATCTTGGGACATCATTAGCTAACGACCTCCTATTGTCCAATGACCACCGATAGACTTCGTAGTGATTCGCTGCGTTTTGTTTACAAAATGGAAGACTAAGGACTAGTCACCAATCAAATTCGTGTAGGTGTGGACAAAAGCAATGTGCGCGTCTACGCAGACTAGAACAATACAAGTCGTAAGCATTGACTCACGTAGTACCAGGGCCGCATGAAATCCAGTGTAGTTCCGCTGTTGGAGATTGCCTCTAAATAGTTTCTAAATTCCTAGTATCGCACTCGAATATACAAAGTTTTATTTTTAAAATTTCAATTGAAAACTATTAAATAAAGCACTACGGAGACGTCTGCACCGTACGGTCGTCCGGAGGGAAGAGGATTATTTAAATGTATATATGTAGTTAGAGAAACTCTAAACCAATACTTTCATTTATTTATTCAAGAAACATATCAGAAACACCACGACTGTCCAAAAAAAAATATACGAGTTCATAACCAGTACAGCAGTACCAAGAATAATTACAAAGAATCCTAGAGAAATAAGACGTCGCTATTTAAAGTCTTACAATGAATCCTACCACAGGCGAAGCAATGTCAAAAAAACGTTACAATATGATCATGTTTTAGACCTTTATAATTTAATCATGAAAATTATCGTATAAACAACTTTTAAGTTCTAAAAATAATATTACATAATGCTAATAATAGTTTGTTAGTAAATGGTTACACGTTTATCACTGATAAGTTCGTTGTAATCCGTCTGCAGATAACAAGATAAGATATCTTTATATAAACAAAACATTTGAGTATTTTTGGCAATTTTTTCATGAATACTTTTTATTACTTATCATCAAACAATAATCAGATCGATTTTAAATAATACACACAATTTAGTCAAAAGAGTCTATTATAAGTACTGATTTAAAAAAAAACGAATATTAACACAAGACAATAAGACAAGTAACGTAAGTAAAGCCAGTACATGTCATTTATTCCGAGACTAAGTAAAATATGTACAAAAGCAAAAACACGTTCATTTAAAAGAAGGGATTAAACTAACGCCAATTTTCAGTGATATCCCCATGACACTCGAACCCAAAAATAAAACGCGACTATTCAATAATACATTTTTGTCACAATTGGGAAAAGAAGTCTCAACTACTTGCCTTTAAAAGAATGAAACTGACACGAAAGCGACAACGCGATGTCAATTAATAATAAAATCTAAGTTGATTCTTTATCTGTCCGTCTGTCATAAAAAACTGTATCTCAAGAAGCGTCACAGCTATAATATAACAGATATTCTATTTTTGCTTCGCTGTAAATACACAGCACATTATTAACATATATTTTAAAGATCTCTAATGAAAACTGAACGTTTCTCAAAAATCAACTAAAACGAAGCAATTAAAAGAAACTTACCCTAGCAGCCGTCAGGAACATAGTCTCAGGGATATGATGAGTAGCAGTCGCGATCACACCTAACGCAACTCCGGGGAAGATGTAGGAGTTGTTGCCTTGCCCGGTATGGTATTCCTTGCCATCATATTGTACAGGTGGGAAGGGGGATCCGGAGGCGAATATACAGCGGCCCTGTAAATAGAAGAAAATGAACTAAGTAATATATTTATTTAATCTATTTAGGCTATGGATATCCGGAAATCCAATAAACAAAACGCGATTAAATTTTATAGCCTTTATATCTGAGGACGCTGTTTTATAACCCGGACAGAATTTCGATAGTTTTACTAGCCATTTAATATTAAATTTTCCAGACAACTAATAACGAAATCCAACGTTCCAAAAAAAAACATCAGAAACATGTTGCATCCTATGGGGATTGAATCCACGACAATTAGACCAACGAGCCCATCGGAAAGCATTGTAATGAATCATTTTTATCTTAATATTTTATAATAAATATAATTCCTAACTGATTTATGTTACTTTTTGTACTAAATTCTTTATAAAATGATAATTATTTACAAGTTCTCATGATTAAGAAAAAATAAGTAAAAATCCGCGAATATAACGCTTCTCTAACAGCTAATATTTTATATCAATCGAAAGAATCAAGGTTCAGAAGCCCGTGTAGTTAAAAATAAGCTTACGTCAGTGAAGTTGTAGGCGTCCTGCGCCGTGCATTCGGCCTTGCTCGTTGGGTTAGACAGGGCGAAGATCACGGGTCTCTCAATGTTCTTTGCCATCTGCCTCAAAACATTTTCGTTGAAGGCACCACCCACCGTCGAACAACCTGTAAAACGAATATAAGTTTAAAATATTTCATCTTGGAGATCCCAAAACTATTTAGATTTGTTACAAACATGCTTTTGGACTTAGTTAGGAATTTAAATAAATATAGTCACTAATTAATAAATAAAAGCTTCGAATAAAATAAACCGTCAAGAACACGTCATTACAATAAGATACTATATAAAATTTTGTTAGCAAACACTAGGGTGAGGATGCAACCAATAGGAGCGAAGAAACTGTAGGAAATGTGGAAACAACGGGTAAAATTATTCTTTGAGGGTTTCCTTCGTGTGCAGTTCAAATACAAAAATACGTCTATACAACTATTATTCTTTTAATAATATATCTATCCTTTAAGATTAACTCGTAAGAACGACGGGAAGCGGACGTAAAACCTAAAATTTATAAAGGGGAGGAGGTTGTTGGCCAAAAGTGCTTTACATGACAAAATGAACGTTTACCAGGTCAGATAGTGTAACATATATTGGGATTAAAGTCACTAAGTTTAATCGCTTACCAATAAGACAGCTGGGCTTTATCTTGGCTATGCAAGCTTCGAAGCTCTTCTCCGGCTCAATATTCTTGCCAAACGCCTTGGCATGCTCGGGCACTCCCCCCTCCCTGCGGGTGGACAGTAGCCCGTCCACGTCGAACATATACACCCTGTCTCGGGCCTGTTGTATCGTAAGACCTTCTGATACCATCGCAGCTACTGTTAAATTCGCTATGCCGTTGGCCGCCTGAAATATAGGTAATAACATCAGCCCAGAAGTATTATTTTGTATATAAATATCAGTATATTGTAATTGTTGTAAATAAATTACAGGTTTATATAAAAACATTTGAACCATATCTGCCACAACATTCAAATTACAATCAACGTAGTAATAACGACGTAATTTAAATGATTTACATACTAATATTATGTAAATATGAAAGGACAAACAGTATTCAAAACCAAAATGGGTAGACAGCGCTCTCGTCTAGATTTTATATGGCTAGGGTATTTCATCTATCATCAAGTGAATTCTTTGCTTGACTGTCCTTCTTTATCATATAAAGTAACGTAATATGCTTGTTTTGTTTAATGAAGCATTGAATATTCCCAAATAAATATCTATCCTTTTTTTGATATAGATAGAGTGGCGAATAAAATTTGGGTAATAATGAAGTCTAAATAAAACACTTTAACGGTTTAAAACGCGATATATTAGTTAAACTTATTTGAAAATTATTTTTAACTTCGGCCCGACGTTTCGGATGCTTTGCAGCGGCCGTGGTCACGGGGGACCACGGCCGCTGCAAAGCATCAATTTTCAAATAAGTTTAACTAATATATCGCGTTTTAAACCGTTAAAGTGTTTTATTTAAATGTGTACTACTCGCGTAAACTATAGACAGTATTTAATAATGAAGTCTACTTTTTGCTAAAGTCAAGGTAAGTATTACTTACTGATCCCGCACCGAGGAAGAAATAGATGTTCTCACTGAGTTTCCGCTTGGTGACCCTGACAGCGGCCATCAAACCTGCGACCGCGACACTGGCGGTGCCTTGGATGTCGTCATTGAAGGTACAGTACTTGTTGCGGTATTTCGCTAATAGACGCCCTGCGTTCCCTAATGCGAAATCTTCGAACTGAAAGGAAAATACATCTTTTATTTAGCATAATATCGTAAAGATATTTGTGCATATAGGAAAAAAAAGAAATAAGAGTTTAAATAAAACACTAACGGTTTAAAACGCGATATATTTTAGTTAAACTTATTTAAAAATTATTTTTAACTACGGCCCGACGTTTCGGATGCTTTGTCTCCCCGTGACCACGGCTGCTGCAAAGCATTCGAAAAGACGGGCCAAAGAAATCTTTCAATAGGAATATCATAATGATGTTATCATATCAATTTCATTATAAACAATTCAGATAGCAAAAATAGTGCTAAACGGTTCTGTTCGAAATATATAAGAAATAAGTAAAATAACGTGTCACACACATTATACATTTATCTCTTTCTTGGTACAACAAATAATTAAATCTTATCAAACCTAAAACCTGCTAAGCATCTGAAAACGGGACGAAGTCAATACAGATCACACAGATTTTGTTTCAATAAATTGCGACGTTTACCGACAATTTAGCTTAACAAGGAATTACTGAAATTGATGGAAATTAAGAGTTTAGATGACGAACGATAATCTTCATCGTTTCTTTAGCAAATTCTAAGAACATTTTTAATTTTGACTTCATTCTTTATCAGTTTGCGGAAATGTTTTAATGTACTGTCGTTCTTTAGAGTTACCTTCTTCCTATAGTCACCTCTGTAGCCAAATGGTTAAACGTCTTGTCTAGCATTGCGTTGAGCGCGAGAGGTCCTGGGTTCGCATCCCAGGGCAATTAATAAAATTGTTTCGGTCGGGTAGGATACAGAAGTCTGATCAACTACTTGCCCGCTAAAAGAATGGATCATTGAAACGGACAGAAAAATGTGTTCGCGTACCTATAGGGTCGTTTACTACTTGCTCGTTTAAAACTTCCTTTTTGTAAGGAAAAGATTTTATCCTATTTTTTTATACCTGTTACACATATTACATACAAAGTTAGTTATCGTAAACAAAATTTATCGAAAACTATCTTGACTGATAAAGTATAAATATAAACGTCTGCTAACTTAATCTGATACCTGATACTGATAAAAAAACTCATATACGTAACAATTGAATGTCAATGTTAAGACATTTGTTAAAGGTTTCTTAATGGCCATGACCTTGATGACCACAAACCTAAGTCAATCTTTGTGATTAAGGAATATAAACTTTTATAATAAATATATTATTATTAATGATTCAATTGTATAATCATTCAAATTTAAGGATATTTAACACCTTGGCTTGTTGGTTAAAACCGCGTTGCATTTAGATGTTCTAGAGTCGAATGCTTGGGAATGTTTGCTGTGGTGGTCCTTTCTGTAAGTAACATCGATAACTAACGAAGACATAAATATGTCCGCATCAGGCAGGATTAGATTTAGTTTACTTTTGGGTCTCTATTGTCACCAATATTATATATCCACCAATATCTGCCTTGTAAGAGATAAGAATGCAGTGATCTCAAGATTTGATGTACCTTTAGTGTGCATCCCATAATTATGTCTCCCTCACTTCCAGTTGGGGTCCTGTTAATGGGTCGTTTAGTGTCACATCACGTTAATAGCATCTAGATTTAATGCAGCAATTGCACTCAAAGTCTATGCCTATATGTCTGGACGTAACCGAATCGCTTAACCGTTCCATTTGTAAACTTAAATACTTTAGTTTTGTTAGTAAAATATATACAATTTATAATTTAAAAAAATTACGACTCGGGCAGGACTTGAACACGAATCCACAGCGTTGCGTGCTGTTACTCTAACCAATGGAGCTACCGGCTAGAGAAGCCCGCTGCCCGAGTCGCAATTTTTTAAATTTATTTTTACCTTAAAAGCGTTAAATTAAGTTTTTCCTTAAAAATATCATAAAAAATAAATGTGCTGACGATAGTGACTATAGTTGCTTATACTTTTATCAATAACAGTACACTATGTATTAAACTATCTAGGCAACAAGTTATTTTTGTTCAAAGGTAAACTGTAACATTTAATACATGCAAGGTTGAAGTAATAATACAATGTAAAAACATGTCATGTTACTAATTTATCTAAATTACAATATTATAATATACAGGTAGTAGTAGTAGTAGTAGTAGTGACCTAGCAACTTTGTATACTCTGCCTTTAACAGAGATAAAACCGAATTATAAAGCAACTGCTTATTTATATAACACTAATATTTCACCTAGCTTAATGATGTAAATATAAAGAGTACATTTATAATTATTGTAATTAGTTATTTTCAGTTATATATGTCGAATAACATGATACTCTACTTGTGATGTATTGACTTGTGACTCTGTTTTCTTGCTTGGAAATTAACATTGACCTTGTGGGAAATCCGGATGTTACCGGTGAAGACAGACTATCGATTGAGTGAGTAGAACCTACTCTACAGTAGACATGTGACGTAATCGTTTTCGATTTCATCAAAAGTTAAATGGATAATTCGAAATGCTGATTGAGTTCGGTTTCCAATTTTTCTAAAGACATGTTAGAACTAGGCAGGAATTTAGTTTAAGCATAAAAATATTTTAAAAAAACACTTTAACGGTTTAAAACGCGATATATAAATTGAACTTTCCCTTTTAATTTTTTTTTTATTTTGATGAGTTATTATTATTTTAAGTTTATGTTGTAGAGTTTAAGTAATAGAAAGTAATTAGTAAGTTTACTACTTGCACACTGTAGTTTTAATTATCATTACGTTTCTACTCCTGTTGCCTGGAAGTGATCGCTTATAGCGATAAGGCCGCCCGGTACACTCTATAGTTTTAAATTGCATATCTGTAAGTTCTGTTTTGTGTACCTAAGTGTGAAATAAATATTTTAGTTAAACTTATTTTAACTACGGCCCGACGTTTCGGATCCTTTGCAGAAGCCGAAAAAAATATATATCGCGAATCCCGGAATGATATCGGTAACTGAAATAATGATTACCTAACAACACTATCACATCGGAAATGATACAGCAAACAGATAGCGTCACAACTGATCTCAGATTGCGAATACATAATTACAATTGATTACCGATGACGTAAGCTCCCGCAAATGTCACGTTACTCTACAATCTATACGTTAGGCGTGACTTACGAGTTATTGTGTTCACCGAGACATCTCGATTATTGCTTTATTCGGAATAATTTTATGACGTTCAATTCACCTGGCTGTTACAATGATATAGCGTTATAAATTCGGTTCGTATCTGAGTCTTTATTTACTCGACCTATACTGAAATTGCAAACAAATCAGGTGTTTTTAAAGATGCAGAGCAGCCGAAGCGAAATTATTTAACATACTGCTTCCATGACCAAATTTAACTTCCGAACAAGAATTCGACTTTTTTTTTGTTTAGGACAATGGTTCATCACCAGAATTTAAATATCCTTACTATCGATTTATTATTCAGATTTTTCACACGACGACAAACAAGTTTAGGAAAAATATAAATTGATTTAAGAAACCTGTTTACCTGGTAGGAATTTAAACCTACCAAAAAATCCAAAAACGAAATAAGTCAACAGCACGTCTAGTTAAGGTGTTATATGGCTGGGCTATTTTACCATACATCAAGTGAATGAACCACATGCTTGTTTGTCCTCCTATACTATAAACGAATGATTATATGGTTTTTAAAAAAGAATTAAAAAAATCTAAGCTTCAGTCACTTGGTCTAGGAACGCTTAACTTCTGACAATACTACCACATGACCATTTGTAATGAGGAAACGTCAAGAACCATTTGTCAAATATGGCTGAACAGTTCGAAAGACCAGGGTAGCAATAGTGCTAAAGCCTTACACAATTTATATATCATGGGTTATATTAGTTCACGACACTAAGTAAAACCTCGCAAGCTAAGCCTGATATAATTTATACCTATAACACCTCATACTAGAGACCTTCAGTGTGTAAGGCGCCTTACGTGGTTATTGACATTGCCATATAAATGAGATTACACCCACCGTACAATAATTCAATCTTGCATTTTCTTACTTACGTTAGTACGTATAGCTTTAAATGCAAGTGTTAATTTTAGTTCTTTTCGCCGAGAAAATAATAACAGAATGTTTTGCCATAAAACCGCTTTAACGTTTTCGTTTGATATGACTAATACAAGATTAAACCGTACATTACTTTCCAAGAATATCATTAGTACTCAAATACATGATAAAATTGGGTATTGCTTTTTTTGGACATGATAATCTTTTGGAAATGGTTATATCGACAGATAAAAAAGTTGTCCTAATTGTTGAGTCAAATGATAGTATACAATATATTGTATATTATATTATGTGTATGGTCTTTGGTAATGGAAAATGTATGATAATTTCTTTTTATTTAACCGTTGAGTGTCTTTTTAACGAAAACGACGACATTTCCGATGTTTCACAGTAGCCATAACTTCGAGCCGTAGTTAAAATAAATTATAAATAAAGTAACTTATATATTTTGCGTTTTAAACAGTGTTCTATGTCTGATGTACTACTCAAGTATACTGTATAAAAGAAATAGAGATATTTTTGAAACAGAGTCCTAACAAATAATCGAAAATATATGGTGATTAATGGACAAACAAACTGACCTGTAAAAGAGTATTCTGACCGTATCTCTGAACGCACGCTTCCATGAACTCGTCAATAAATTCGTCATACTCCTTGCCTCTCGCGCGCCTCTGACGTAGTCCAATGTACAGTGGGTCTTCTAATAGATCCTATATACAAAATACAGAAGTGTTAAATACTGCCTGTAGTTTACGCGATTAGTACACATTTGAATAAAACACTTTAACGATTTAAAACGCGATATATATTAGTTAATTTTTTTTTGAAAATTATTTTACTCTCCCCGTGACCACGGCTGCTGCAAAGCATCCGAAACGTCGGGACGTAGTTAAAATATTTTTTTAATAAATTTAACTAATATATATCGCGTTTCAAATCGTTAAAGTGTCTTATTTAAATACAGAAGTGTTGTTTTTCAACGTAGCATATGAATGCAGGTTGGCAACAAGGCGTACTCGACGCGGTTCAGACGAAAACGATTTCCAATTCTAACAACACTGTCAATATTAAGCAGAAAGCTAATACCTCTAACATCTGCTATAACAAAATGATAGAACTCTGCCAACAATATATGTCTATACATATATTGCGATAGCAATACATTTATTATTACATATTTTTGGCAAAATATTTGAGGTGTGTATATATTAAGAATTGAGTACTTTTTATAATTAAATTTTCCGATTAAAGTTGATTGACCGTTAATTAGGTTTAGATTATTATTCGGATTCGAGGATTTTAATTCTACACTGGTAGACGTTCAATTTAAAATATAATTACCTGGTTGTCAGTTCCAACATCTAGTGTTATAGGTAAACATTGGTGAGGCTTGATTCCCGCTAAAGCAGTGTACAATGATAACTTTCCGACTGGTATTCCCATACCGTAAGCACCGAGGTCTCCGAGACCCAGAATCCGCTCACCATCAGTGAAGACAATGGCTCTTACATCTGGTTCAGGCCTGTGAAATGAATAAAAAATGTATTTGACATTTTTAAATCTCAATGTCGATTATGTAGACAGGTCATTAGTACGTTACTGTGGTGTACGCAAAAGCAATGTTTGAAGATTTTAGTATAACTGAATGAGAAAAATAATAAAAAATACGAAAATAAATTGAAAACAATTTCGACACGGGCAGGACTTGAACAACAATCCTACACCTCATCGTCGAATTTTTTCAACTTATTGAGACATGCACCTCTCGCGCAATGTGTTTAACGTCTTGTGCTTTGAAAGTAAAAGACTTACCAGTTTTTAAGAATATTGAACACGTGCCCTTTGTCGTTAATCGTGATGAAGAGACCTCTAGGCCTCCTATAGATAAGACCGAACCTCTGGCAGGCGAGACCCACGGTCGGGGTGTAAACAATTGGCAAATACTTCTCCACATTCTCGGAAAGCAAGCGAAAGAACAACTTCTCATTTCTATCCTGCAAGGAATGGGACACGAAATAAAAGCCAATCAACATTTTTAAACAAATGATTCGTTACACAACATGCACCATAGAAATATTTACACGTAAAATAACTGTCCTCAAACTGTCATTGTAATCATTTGAGAAAATACATGCATTGCGTTAAGAATAGATCTCATATTTATATCACCGAACACTGAAACATATCAACGCCAAAGACCATACAAATATAAACAGCAAGACATTAAGAGTGGTCCTTGATCCTGACGAGTTCAGTAAACGACGCTTGCGCAATAAAATCATTAAATCACTGGTACCTTCACGCGATCTAGTCACCTGTAACTCAACGAGGTAGAGGTATTTGTTCAAATTGTCCTCGTAACGATCTATGGATATTCTGCAAATGTCGAGCTGTTCCTCTTGCGTCTTGAACTTGGCCGCCAACAGGCCGTGGATGCCAAGCGCCTGTCTCTCTTCTAAAGTAAATGCTAGACCCTAAGGATATCAGTCAATTAAGTAATTTTAAAGCATCGCAAGTATATAATAATATAAATGAATTGAGCTGTTCCAATCAACCATGACCTAGCGTTTCAAAATTGCAGTATAGCAACAGAAAATTCACGATCAAGTGAGCGAAATAACTAATTGAAACTTTGCCAGCACTTGCCGTGTGAAACTCATTATTGGGCACTCGTTGAGGAGGTAATAAGAAACGAATTCCATGGTTAATAGATGACTTTATATACCATTTTAATTCTTAATAAGTATCATTACAACGTAAGAGTATTATGTACATACATATAAAAGTTACATTGGTGTCTTATTTCCCCAGAAACGTCTCAAATATTGTCACAAGACACAGGTAAAACAGTTTATACAAGCAATTTGATCACACTACCTTATTAAGACGAGGATCCCTGAGATGATCGATACCTCTGACCATATTCGGACAGATAATGTCGCCAGTCACTTCGTGGTAGTTTCGGCATTGTATTAGGGATGGTTCTAGGAGCGCTGGACACTTGGTCAGCGCGTACGCAAGAGCCCGATTCGGGCCTATAGCGTTCGTACAGCATCTACAACAGAGGAGAAATTGTAACATATTGAGTGAATATGTGATTTTCAATGAAGCGTTATGAATCGTATTCAAGGTTAAAAACCGTAGTGTAAAATCTCGTTTCCACCTGTCGTAGCGATAAAGTAACGTAAGTAATAATGTGTTTTAGTTTCACTACACTAATCAAGGAAGAAATTAGGGTACACATCAGATTTTAAAACGACATTGTAATCAATCCTTGACTGGTTAATTGTTAGGCAATACATATAAATTCATAAACTAAAACCAATTCGTTTTCAACTTCCAGTCATTCTGAATAACTATATAATTTGGTATAACTTTAATAAAATATTGGTATGATTTTAGTATATTACAGGTATTATTAAATCAGTGGGAACAACGCCACAGCTAAGATTATGTTCACATTTAAACATTATCGCCAATCAATGTTTGATTGATGACCAGATTACGTCATTAACAGCTGACTATGCATAATTTAGTACAATCTGACGTCATATTACATCAAGAGAAATTTTATTATCTCTAATTTATTGTGATCCAGACTCTTATGAATCACGTTTTGAAATTCAACAGAAAGCTTAGAAACTAGATTATTTTTTTAAATAATTAATACTATTTTTTTAGGCCACACATTCATTATTCTATTAAAAACCATAGAATGAAAACTTTAATCTATAACACTTAGCAATATGTTTTGTTCTATTAACGTGTAACATGTTCTACTGCTATAATTAAAATATCCTGTTTATCACAAGTATAAAAGACTAAAAATACGCGTAAAGTTAGTTATTTGTATCTGAAACATTTCAAACATAACATGTTTCACTATGATAGTATTATATAAAGTAATTTGAACTAGAAAACGAAGAAAAAGTCTAGATCTAAGCCATTTACATAATATTATAAGCACCACATTATTTACAAATTTTTAAATTAAATTAATATACAATTTACTTTTGTGTAGACAAGTTTAATATAATATACATAAAGGATTTTGTCTATGTTTATTTAGTCTGAATTGTTTCCACATCACTTAAAATGGGCGCGACCGGTAAACTTGAAAATTATCAAAGTGTGACTCATATTTAGCAAAAACTAGAACATATAATCTTAATGTTTCAGACTATATAATCATAGGATAGACTTTAGTACCATAAGCCAAAATTTGCCTCAAATAAGAATAGAATGAAAAAAACTAAATATTTTTAATAATCATGCACATGGGGGCTTGGTGTTAATATTAAGAACCTAATTAGCATTTTTTAACACATTTTCAAACACAATTAAATTATTAACAATAATGGATAAAAATTTTAGCAATATTTTTTTCTACATTTAAATAATATTTGTTCTAAAACACGTTGTGTGATCATTTCTGTATTGTTAGTAAACAAAGAAAAAGTGTGAACTATTTTGGTATCTGCTCATAACAGTATTTTGAGTTACATTGCCAGAAAGGTTGCCAAGCAATAAATGGGACAAGCCAAAAATAAAATAAAGAGTTAAAAACAATAACATTTAGGCTTTATTAACAGTTATTAATTGTTAAAAAGATTACTCAACAACTTTAGACACTCGAGACAGACAAACATTGTTTAACTACAGTAAAAACTTATATATTAATAGTTTACAGCTTTAATAATTAATTAAAACTGCGTACTTAATAATATTTGCACTAATCCTCAATCTTTTATGATTAATTAAGCATATTATACAATATTTGTAAAGCAGGTAATTCTCAACATTTGAACGACTATTAATTTATTTGTTTTGTAGAAATCAAAAAAAGTAAATCAATACAATGTGTGTGTAAAATCTGTTGCGGTAATAAAATAATTTTACTGGGTGTATAAAATAATTAAATAAACAAAATTAAACTGTTACGTGAATTACGTAGATAGTATCCGTAGGTAAAAATTTAAGGCAACAAACATAAAAAAAAATATGATTAGTATAACATAGAATCTAGTACTAAATTCACGACAACCTAGAATTTAAGGAAAAGTAATTAAATTTTGAGCGAAATAGAGGTGTCACGTTATGTAAACTCCAAAAATAAAAGAGAAACAACACTTACAGTAAAGATTTGGAGATATTAGAAAACATTTTTAAAGTATATATTTCATTTATGTCAAGCAAAAGCACAATTGTATCGTTCACTGTTTTAAAATTTTATTTTATAATAATTTTTCGTCCTCCATGTGTAACACGACAGGGAGTTGGACTGCCTATAGAGAATATAGACCGTAGCATAAACAAAGCAACGAGGGTGACATTGTGCCAGGAAGGTGTTCTATTGCGTTTCTCTGTATCGCTGTGTGTTGTCCATAGATAAGTGAAAAATTACATTGATGGTTAGAATAATATATAGTCCATTTCTTCTTAAAAGACATTTTTGGTAAACAAACACACGATGTTCATGAAATAGTGATTTTCTCACAAGATTTACATTGATTTACACTAAAAACTCTTTGAGACACATGATTTTATATATATCTAAAGAACTACCTCAAACCGCTTAGTAAAAACTACAATTTCATGCTAAAATTAATAAAAATTCAAATAATGTGTTTACGAAAATGCACAGATTAAAATTTCTTAAGTTTGACATTTACGTAAGGACGCGACGTAAGCAAAGTCAAAGACAAAAGAAGCGAAAAATCGAACTCGCGATCGCGATTATGATCGCGCATTAAATTGTAGCTTTTATTAATAACAAAAATAAAAGTAACAAGCATATCATTGTCTTTCGGGCTGTTCGACCGATGTGAGCGAGAAGAGGTTCTCGACGTTTCGCCATCACGTGTGGATGACTGGCGAAACGTCGAGAACCTCTTCTCGCTCACATCGGCCGAACAGCCCGAAAGACAATGATATGCTGAACGATGGCCGTGTAAGCCTTACACAATTTATTTAAAGTAACAATGTGTTATTAATTGTTTATTGAGACATAATACAACAATGAATGAAGTGCAGATTAAATGGCTTTCCTCACTATTATTGCTTAATTCTTCGGAGACGTGAATAATAAATTGAGGGTCGTCGGATGCCGCATCCATAATCCCATCTAATTTCATCATTTTATTTTCTTCTTCAATTACATGTTTTATCATTTTTTGCCACGTGTGCTTCTGTTAGTTTCATGCCTTCTTTAATTAGATTTTTAATTTCACTAATTTTGAAACTTTTATTGTGTCCCAACATAAGATTTCAAATTGGCCCAAATGAGTTCAATAGGATTTAATTCGCAGTGGTACGGCGGATGATGTAATACTGCCTTTTTTCATCGGCCATTTGATCAATAATGTTTTTTTTGAAATCAGTTCGCGTTAATTTTGACAAAAGTTAGTCCTTAATTTTACTTTTATCAAAGGCAATATTATTTTGCTGCAGACATGCTTGTATGTCTGCCTTCCGCCAACTTATGTTGGGTTGGGAACGCGGATGCACAGCCTTGAGTGGTATGGTGCATTATGCAGTACAATGTATTATCAAACGTTAATAATATTATAAAAACAAAAGCTTTTTTAAGTTTTAGTTGTGTTTATAATATTAATTCTTTTTCACTGTGTCATTTGTGACATCAACTACACTCTATAAAAGGCTTCACTAGTTCTCTCTGGTTTGAAATCGGCCATATTTGTTGTGGTTTTTGCCAAGTAAGATGAAACCGTATAGTCGGTTAAAGTGACATAATATCATGTGTTATCATTGTTCTGTCAAGTAAAAAAACAATAATGATCGATGGAATAATATTTTGTAAAACTGTAAATGATTACAAATACCAAGTGCGGCTGAATTTTGTAAAAGTAATATATTGTTAGTCTAGCGCTCTTTAGTTCAAAATGATTCGAGAAGACGATCCCCAATTTCGAATTACTCCTTTTCAACAAATGGCATCAGCATCTTCCGGTGCCCTTATAACCTCGTTGTTCAGTAAGTTTCTAATGTATTCTATAAAGCGGTAATATATTCCATTGTAAGATATAGTATAACGGAAACTATAACCTTTAAAAAATTTTACAGTGACCCCATTAGATGTTGTAAAAATAAGATTACAAGCTCAACAAAAGGCGCTGCTTTCTAATAAGTGTTATTTATATTGCAATGGACTTATGGAGCACTTGTGTCCCTGTGGTGAGACAGCATGGATACCACGAAGAGTCCATTTCCATGGGACAATGGTATAAAAAATGATCTAAATATTTAAATATTGTTAGTTTGAAATAACTGTACCATTGAGGGGCTTTGAGGAGTTATCCTGGTTACCATCAAAAATTCACTGGTTATAGTTGTCACAACCTGAAGAAGTTGATGAAGCAATCTTCCAGTGGAAATGAATCTCTTAAACTCCTTACATGAGAGATGATATTTGTGCCCAGCTGTGGGCACAAGTTTCATCTGGGTGGGTTTATTTGGTATAACAAAGCATAAGGGCATTGAAAAATGTTCTAATGATGAATGTACTATTTTCAGGACGCCTTTTATAAAATAACCAAACTTGAAGGAGTCACTGCTCTTTGGTCTGGCCTTAGTCCAACTTTGGCTTTAGCATTACCATGCACAGTGATATATTTTGTTTCATATGAACAACTGCGATATAAAATGAAAACAACATATAATACAATAACAGGAAAAAGTAAGTTTCATGCATGCTATTCTATATTTCAAATATTTAAAAAAAATTGTAATAAGAAAGGTTTTAAGACTACTTTGATAATTTATAATTTAAATAAATGAATATCAACAGCTATACTTGATATCTTAAAAGATTATCTACACTAATATCAATATAAATCGATAGTAAGTAATAAAATAGGGATAAAAGAATTTCTTTTCAAAAATTGGCGACATGGTATTATATAATACCTTAAGTAAGATAAAATAGGTTGTTAATAACATGGACCTTGATCTCAAGGTTTTGTTTGTCAAATTTAAAACAGATTAAACATAATAGGGAAATATTTAATATTCATGTTTTGGCATTATTTACATTTAAAAAGTTGGTATAGTAAATAATTACAAATAAATTAAGTAACTCATTTTTATATTTTTTTCAGTGGGACAACCAATGTGGATACCGTTAATAGCTGGTGCAACAGCCAGAACAACTGCTGTTACTTTAGTTAGCCCTGTAGAACTTATTAGAACCAAAATGCAATCCAAAAAGCTTACATACTCAGGTGATTTTTAATTTTGTATATTTAAAGTAAATAATGTATTAGATAGATGGGATTGGTTATTTGTTCAATTGCACAAGTAACAGACCACTGTATTGATTTAATAGATGAAAGCACTGTGTTATGTGTAAAAAAAAATTGGGGTTTTAATCCCAAGATAACATAATTTGGTTTTGATTTACTTTTTCACTGTAAATTTCTATCAGTGAAACACATACTGAATCGGTGTACTCCGTACGTTGTATACGGGATTGTATATTTAGTGACATAAAATAAAGATTTGGGTAATTTTTACAGAAATAACAGTAGCATTACAACAAGTATTAAAATATGAAGGATTTAGGGGACTGTTTCGAGGTCTAGGCTCAACACTACTGAGAGATGTACCGTTTTCAGGTATGTTATTATTTGGTTATTACATAACAGTTATTACACTTGGCAATTTAAAATCGAACATTTTAGATAATTTAAATTAACTACCTGCCATTTGAATACTTTGTAGGAACTTTAATAACACAAATTTATACCTTATAAAGTTTATCGTTCTACTGGCTGTGCCAGCGACTTCGTTCGCAAGAATCGTTATTTTGGGCATCCAAATTCGTTTTTGCAAACCCCATCATTATAAACTGTTACCCACGATGTCTGTCGCGTCCCTTCCCGTCACTCTTTCTAGTTAATCTTAATAGACTTATATGGTCGCGGACTTTTTTTAGATCATTTTTTTTATACATATTTTTTGGGTGTCTTGAACCGTTTTCGCAGCATACACATCTGAAACCCAAAATTTCCCTCGTTTTGTTCATATTTCCGCTGTATCTTCGCTTCTGTTAGCCACAGCGATATTTAAAGCCTTCCTCGATTAATGCTCTAACCACCACAGAAATAATTTTTCAATTTAAACCGGTAGTTCCCGAGATAAGCGCGTTTAAACAAACATATAAAGCTTTATATATTGGTATAGATTAATTTATAATTATGGTATTATTAGCAAAAAATGATTGTATTTAATAATGAATTTCTATTTCTAGGTATATATTGGACAACATTTGAAAAAACAAAATTAGTTTTTAATAAGCCAGATTCAGAAAAGAACACATTTTTATTTAATTTCTTCTGTGGATCTGTTGCTGGTAGTGTAAGTATCATACATATACTAATAAATACTGGAGGGTGAAGTACATTTTAATTCATTTTTATATAACTTTCTTTTCTCAGGTGGCTGCCTTTGTAACATTACCTTTTGATGTCATTAAAACGCACCAACAAATTGAATTAGGTGAAAAAGAAATTTATACTGGTTAGTATATAATTGTGTTATGGACAAACATTTTGTTTTTCTTCCCTGCTATAGTAATATATGATTTATTCTTTTTATGTTCTAGATGGAAAGACTCAACAGAGAGCATCCAATATGAAAGACATAGCAAAAGCAATATATAGGAACCATGGGATAAAGGGGTTGTTTACTGGTTTCTTGCCGCGAATATTTAAAGTAGCACCAGCATGCGCAATCATGATAGCCACATTTGAATATGGCAAACAATTTTTCCAAATATACAACTCACAAAAATATAAGGAAATGATGCAGAGGTAATTATTGTCCCCGCAATATTATCTCATATCTAACTTCGTCCCTTTTTTTATCCCTATTTTATTTTTCCTGTAACCCAACCATGTCCATAAATCCTGTTTTTATTTCAGACAAGGTGTAGATCTAACAATAATAAAAAGTGAATAATCTGTTCAGGATCAAAAGAATTACTTGAGGCATATCTGTAATTTTAGGTACCATGATTACTTTAAAGCACATAAACCAAAAGTACCCTTTTCACGGGCTCAGATATTGTTATTTGAATGATTCTGTAATAAATCACAGAAGTTATCTTATAGTTTTAAAAATATTTATAAAAAACTTGGTACATATGTGTTTTTATTTATTTTAGACATCACCAAGATATTATAATAGTGAGTCCAGGTGGAAATGAGTATTCTTAGCTAAACTAAAGGACATGTAAAACTGGGTGTTTTTTTATAGTTAACATCCTACCCAAAATCGGTGAAGTAATGAAAAGAGCAATGGTGATAAGTGGAATTTTAAGAAGAAACACATATGATGCTATGTAGTAATTACATACGATTTTAATTGACTCCTAACTCGCTAATTAGATTAGTGTTATATAAATTTTTGTTACCAATAGTTATTTAAAGTGTATTTTCCAATAATATATTTGTATGCTGATTACTTTCTTGACATTAAATTTATTTTCAAAGAAAATATATAATTAAATAAAAAATACAAGTTGTACCTTTATGTGATTTTGTTTAAAGTAGTTTTTTGAAACATTCATGTAAATAATATGTTATGATTAGTTATATTAAAATATTGTCATTCCATAATGTCTTTAACTGCTAAACAATAATGAGCTTGAGACTATGTTAAAAATGTGTTTACTCTAAGGGACAGATTTTAGTATGACGTAAACTCTAATATTTACAAACGAGAAACGGCATGAACATTGATAAATGTAATGACTACAATTATAATAATATAGAGGTAAGGAGTGTAAAATTTAAATCACATAATTTATAACATACTTTATTATACTTAAATGTACTAAAACTAATGCACAATAGGTCCTAGTGGTTCTGCTTTAATATTTCCTAGGTCTAACCTACTGTCTATAGATTCGTCAATTTGGCCCACGATTGCAATGTTGTCTCCTCTAATTATGTGCAATCCAAGAACAACTTGCGCCACTCCTGTTGATGACGAAAATACTCTTTCGTGTGATTCGTCTAAAATAATGTTTATAGTTTGGTCGAAGCCTTTTAAAGTGCCGATAAAATTGCGTCCATCTGCTGTTATCACAGACACTGTTTGATTAATATAGTTTTCTAGACCTGAAGCCATAATAATAACACGCCACGCGCTTTTAAATCAATTACACAGTGTTTTCGTAAAATTAATCTTAACATTCAAAATTATAATGCTGTTTGCTTAAATTTTTTAAGTCAAAAATAAACAATAGATTATAGATCATACGAGGTAACAGAGTCAATAACTGTAACAGATTATATCATTATTAGAATATTTGACTAACACAAATGTTTATTTATATTTATGAAATAAGTTTTTTGTTGTATCATAAATTAAGGTAATATTAATAAGTATTATTTTGGCTTATTCCTTTTTTTTATAAACCACATAGGAAGTATGAACTGTCAATATTGCCGATAGTTAGTTTATTTGACTTAACTAGGTTATGGAATTATTATTTATTGATCAACAATTATTGAGTACCTACCATTTTTATTAATGCGTAACTAGAACCTTAATTCTGAGAGGAATCATTTACCTATGTATAATATAATCTTCTAGACTGATGGCTAGAGTAATCTGATTTGTCTATATTATGTATTGCTCACAACAACTATTGTATTAATGAGGACCGGTTTTAAACCATTAAAGGTTTTATTTTCTATTTAAAAGATTAACAATGGAAATATTATGTTTCTGTAACTTTTGTCTTCATTTCTTTGCCACAGCCTGCGGTGGTACTATCTTACCCTTTATTATACTATTTATAATATCTTATTCTTTGTTTTGCAGTTCTGTTCAAGCTAGGAGCTATTTCTAACTCTAATGTCGAACACAATAGTTCAATATATTTTACTTCGGAGTGATTTACTCAAAGACCTAGGATGGTCTGTCGGTGCTGTTGTTGCTCAGGCATGTCACGCTGCAACAGCTGTTCTGCATTTGTACAAAGATGATGAAAATACTATTAAATACTTACAAGATTTAGAGAACATGCATAAAGTTGTATTAGAAGTAAGTGCTAAGATTTGAAATATATTCTTCTTATGTATATAGTACAGCACAAATCCTTTAAAAATATCTTACAGGTGGCTAATGAGGAAGGACTCCGAAAAATTGCAGAAAAGCTAAAAGAAAACTCTATTGATTGTAAATTATGGATTGAACAGCCAGAAAACATCCCTACATGCTTAGCTTTAAAACCTTATCCTAAAGAAGAAGTAAAAAAGTTTGTGGGAAAATTCAAATTATACAAGAGTACACTAAATGTTGATAATTCTTCGCAACTTAATTAAAAATAAAGTTGGTTGTTAATCAAAAAAGTTTATTTCTAATGTATGAAGTAAGTATGAGTACAGCCTATAGATGTAAAAATTTTGTTAGTATTTTAAAACAATCATTTGCTGTATTCTATTGATCTCAGGCCGTCTCTTTCCTCACTGTGTAAAATTAAAAGAGGAAATATAATAGTTAGTTTTCAAGTTAGCAGGAATGAAGGTTTAAACCGGTTTACCGCAGTCATCAAACTTCCACAATCTTGACCAATACACCCATTTCATACATGTCGCCTGTGTATCAAGTCCATAACATCGGGCTTAAGCAAAGCAACGTAATTCATTAATGGCAATACTAGGGTGTTCTATGTCTATGGTGCTTCGTCAATTGTCATTTTAGAAAACAAATTATTCTAAATGACTGGAAGTAGATTATGTTTTTGTAATAAAACAATTTAAAGTAAACTGCTATTTAAAGAATATTTCAAAGTTCTACATCAGTGGTTTTAAGTGTAAATTACCAACTATTAATTGCATGTTCGGTAAGCACTATAATTTTAAAATATGTCCACTTAATTTCTATGGCATCTTCGTCATCGCTATTAATTAATCTTAAATTTTATCGTGAAACTGCCCTGCTCTTCAAGAATAATCTTGATCAATAATTTCGCCATAATAGGTTTTCCTAATTCTACAAGAAGAATTTTAATTTATCGAGCTAAAAGTCGTATATGTAATGAGTCACTATTTAAAGTAGACTATTGAAATTCAGTGTTTTCCTATAAATATCTATCAAGTACAGGAAATAAGTTTTATTTTTTTGTAAAAAATGTTATTTACTTTATTGTATTACAGAGTGTATACTATCGATATGACCTCATCAAATACCTTGCAGAAGGCTATTGATCTTGTCACTAAAGCCACAGAGGAAGATAAAAATAAAAATTATGAGGAAGCACTGAGATTGTATGAACATGGTGTGGAATATTTCCTCCATGCAGTTAAATATGAAGCTCAAGGTGAGCGGGCTAAAGAGAGCATAAGAGCGAAATGTTTGCAATATTTAGATAGAGCTGAAAAACTTAAAGAGTACTTAAAAAAGGATAAAAAGAAGAAGCCTATGAAAGCTGGTGAATCAAATTCCAAAAGTGACGAAAAGAAAAGTGACAGTGAAAGTGACTCTGATGATCCAGAGAAGAAAAAGTTACAGGGAAAATTAGAAGGTGCCATAGTGGTTGAAAAGCCACATGTAAAATGGAGTGATGTGGCAGGGCTTGAAGCAGCTAAAGAAGCCTTAAAAGAGGCTGTTATCTTGCCTATTAAGTTTCCTCATCTATTTACAGGTAAAAGAATACCATGGAAGGGTATTTTACTGTTTGGCCCACCTGGTACTGGTAAATCATATTTAGCCAAAGCTGTCGCTACTGAAGCTAACAATTCAACTTTCTTTTCTGTCTCATCTTCTGATCTTGTATCCAAATGGCTGGGTGAGTCAGAAAAGCTTGTAAAAAATCTCTTTGAATTGGCAAGACAGCATAAACCAAGTATCATCTTCATTGATGAAATAGATTCTTTGTGCTCCTCCAGATCTGACAATGAATCAGAATCCGCCCGTAGGATCAAAACAGAATTTCTTGTCCAAATGCAAGGTGTTGGTAATGATATGGATGGCATCCTTGTGCTTGGAGCTACAAATATACCCTGGGTGCTTGACGCAGCCATAAGGAGACGTTTTGAAAAGCGCATTTACATTGCTCTACCAGAAGAACATGCTCGACTTGACATGTTTAAGCTCCATTTAGGAAACACTCGGCACATGCTTACTGAACAAGATATGAAGGTGTTAGCCGCTAAAACGGATGGATTTTCCGGCGCTGATATCAGCATTGTTGTGCGTGATGCCTTAATGCAGCCTGTCCGTAAAGTGCAGTCAGCAACCCATTTCAAAAAAGTTACTGGGCCTAGTCCTACAGATCCTAATGTGATTGTAAATGATTTACTAACACCATGCTCCCCTGGTGATGCAGGGGCTATGGAAATGACATGGATGGATGTACCAAGTGACAAATTAGGTGAACCTCCTGTCACCATGTCTGATATGTTAAGATCACTGGCTACATCAAAACCAACCGTTAATGATGAAGATATGATCAAGTTAAAGAAGTTTATGGAAGATTTTGGACAGGAGGGTTAATACTTACAACAATTGTGATGAATAATAAATGTTTATTATATGAGCACTGAGCTTATATTAGTATAGCTTGTATAATTATTTTTATAATGTTTCTTTGCACTGCTAAGGTAAATGGCCTAGAAACAAGTATATTTTCAAGATATTTTAATAATACAGTAAAATTTTACATATAAACATGTGTATACATACAATAAAAGTAAATCTTGAAAGAAGATATAGCTACGCTTTGTGTATCAGCGATAAAATTTATTAAAATTAAAGGTTACTACTGTCTATGATGACACCTATTTTGCGCCGCAATTTAAGTTATGAAAGAAAAGGATATCGGATTTAAAATACTTAAGGCATAAAATATTTAACTATTATTCGTAATAAATGCTGTTTTGAAAACGCTTTGAAAAACCTTTAATTAAAAAAATACATATATTTATTCAAAATTAAAACCCTTTATTATTCTACTATTATGTATATATGTTGAGATTGCTGTTAATATGTTCTTCATTGGTTATTGAGCTTTAGGAATTATCTTAAAATTTTTGTGACCAATTATTATTAGTCCAAATAATATTGCTTTTAATTATATACTGATGTAAACTATTTTTAAATGTTACTAGAAGCAGTAATGTTACTTTGTGTGGTATTCATAATTTCTCAAGTGTTATTTCTCTTAACTTAGATGTAATTTCATTATTTTTTATGAAAAGTGTAATAAATACTTATTCAATAACGACCCATATTTTATTTATTGATTTAAAAAAATAGTTGATAGTTGATCAGATTTCTGGTTTCATTGGTTCCCCGTGCTTTCAAATCCAGGACTTCTCGCGTATAACGCATTAAAACGCAACACGTTGACCTATTTAGCTAAAGAGACGATTTTATATTTAGAAAAAAAAACTTAAATAGGTTATAATAGAATTAAGCTTTTAATTATAAAAAGTTTATTTACAATTTATATTAGTTTACAAAACTCAAAGCTTTTCTTTGTGTATTAAAATAACACTGATTATTGCTACATATACTAGAAGAAAACTGGATTCTCTGTGGCCATTTGATGAGTTTGTTTCTGAAAATAATATGAATGAATTATATTGCGGCTACATACATCTGGTAACATTGGTGAACTAAATTATACATATACCCATGTCGAAAAATAATTATACATATACCCATGTCGAAAAATAATTATACATATACCCATGTTTAAAAAATCTAAAAAAGATCACGTGATTAATGGACAACCCCTAGTGATTTTGTTTAGATTTTGATATTGTTAAATGGTAACGCTGGTGTTTTGACTTGACTTTTTAGACGAAAAATGTTTGATTTATTGATGACAGACAATATTTACAATCGTTTTACTGGCTACAATATTTTGCTTAGCCAAATTAAATATATTTTTCGTAGGTAGCTACGAAACGGTTTGTATGTAATATGATTATTACATATAGAATGGGTCATGGGGCGTTCACATTTTTGTGTCCGTTTCACTGAACTACTTGCCAGTAAAATAAAAACCAATTTATTTTACTGGCAAGTAGTTCATCAGATCCTAGGGCCTGCCCAACCGAAACAATCTATTCTCGACCCAGAAACCTAAGAACTCTCGGGCTTAACGCAATGCTAGGCGACATGTTAACCATTTAGCTACAGAGGTGCTGTTTTGGACGGATTCCCTCACCTATAACGACTGTTCGTTCTCTTCTATGATTTGCTACGATTGCAACACATCGTAGCCGAAGATATGGTCTTGCTGGGGCACGTAAACCCAAAGTTGATATGAAAAACCCTTGTGAAATCGGCGCAGGTTCATATTCTACCAACCAGGATGGTTCAGTTACCTAAAACAAATTACACATTTAGAAAAATATTACAATGACATTAGTAGTGGGCAATGTTGTACAATATTTGTGTGATAGTTGAATCGTTATTGGTTTTTATTAAAATATTGATTTCATGCAATTTGATTCGTCTATGTAGAAAAAAAAAATCACGATTATTATTATGCTCTTTGGTTTGCCTTGTGGTAAACGACGTGTTTGCGAATAATTGAGAAATGCATCTGCCATGCACTCTTTTAATGTATATAATATAAATGTATTAATGTAATTTACCATTCAATATATAAACAAATTCCCTAATTCATCTTCTTTAATGATAGCAATAATGGGAAAAAGGTATGAAAAGGAGAAATCTACGCCTAACCTGCACTAGTTTAGGCACAGTTCAATGGAATCATTTAGGTTAGCAAGTTTACGCAACCTCAATACTTTATATACAAAATTATGGAACTATACCGACGTCGCAGAGATGCTAAAAAAAGTGATAAGATATTTATCTACTTTGACTTTTATTCCTAGTGTCAGTCTTTATTTATTTGTTCTTATTTAGCGAACAGAAGGATATTATAAAGCCTGATGCTTTATAATATCCTTGTGTTATTTAAACTATGTATGTATATGTATACGCTTCGTATTTCGTGTAAACTATATTTGTTATTATAGTATATGCAGTATAATTAAAATTTCAATGCAACAAATAGTTCAATCTTTTTTAGTTGTTTTTATCAGCCCCTAATAAAATTACTGGTTACAACAAAAAATCATAAAACATCCCAATTTTTATGAAATCGAAAAACTCCGCAATGCAAAGTGGTAGTTTATATATTTTTATATAAGTGCCTTGGAAAAGTTTTCATTCAAATACTTATGAATGCCAAAAAATTCGACGTTTTCACATTTAAAAAATACACGGCCGAAGAGCTGAAGCTGAAAAACCTTTTTGTTTTCAGTTAGCTCCATTCAACGACATTCCATTCGATACGCGATGGGCTCAAAATCAACAAATCCGTTTTTCGTATAGTTTGACTGTGTTGTTTAGTTAGCTAAAATGTCCCTTTAAAATAACCTTTGGTATATAGTGTTAAATCCATCCTACAGCGGTACAAAAAAAAATGTGAATTGATATATCGCACACTAATTACAGCACTATCTTTTCACGCTTAAATAACCAAAAGTCGCTACTAAAAAAATATAAAAAAGAAGATTTTATACCACTTGCCCATCCATGTGCCATTCCAAAACTGGCGCTGGATATGCTTTAGCCGATGAGCAATTGACATCCAGCGGTTCATGTAATTCGTAGGGACGTTCGTGGCCCGCTATACGCGGGTTTTCACGTGAAAAATCTGAAAATTGCACATACATAACTTGAATGCAAAAAATGGTCAAGTGACGCGGACGCGCGAAGAGTTTTGCAACGATGACTAGCTAAGTGTAGGTTTACCGTGTTCGTATTGTATTGTTTTTTCAGTTGTTTCCAATGTCTCTCAGTTATCATTATTACTATATATAGAAAAATAGGTCAAAATTGAGTTTTTTGTATTAATCTCTTTGTACTAATAATTATTTATGATAGAGAAGGCAATGCTTGGTGTTCACTTGATGGTAGATGAAATACTCCAGTTATATAACATCTAAAAAGGTGCGCTATCGACCTATTTTAGCTTTGGATATTCGAAAATCCAGAAAATGAAACGCGATTAATTTTGACGTTTTTTTATTTGTGGATGGTGGTTCGTGACGCGGACTGAATTTTTATATTCCTACCAGCCATTTAATATCCAGATTTCCAGATGAAGTCCAACATGTTTCAGAAAAATTCTAATAGAAAAATGTTGGACCCGATGGGGTTCGAACCCATTGTTTATTAGCCCTACATTGCTATCATTAGACCAATGAACCCGTTAACATTTTTGTTGTTTAGTTTAAATGTTGCCCCACTCTAAATTAATTTAATCACACTTCATTAAGACTAGTTTTATTCAGAGCTCTCTTTATCAAAATAATTATGTATTAACTTACAATAAACTTCCATGAAAGACTCAGATTGTGCGGAATGAAAAGACGGCGCCTCTTCAGACACCTCGCAGCGATATAGGCCTCGGGATTTTAGAGTTAAGTCCCGGAGATGTACTCGCCTAGCGCTTGACCTCTCCAGCTGATTTTAAAAATTTCATTAATATTTGATACGAGCTTTGCCCGGTTACACGAATGAATATCTAAGCGTGTTGTTTTCTACGTAACCCTTATTCCCAGCTCTTAATTGCAACATTTTTGATGATAATCTTATATATCTGTCCGTTATGTGTTGAACGCGTCTCGGTTACTGCTTGAAAGGTCTTGGTTAACTTCTGGGGTGATTAAAAAAAAACGTTAATTAAGCTGCTTCATATAGATAACGAAATAACTGAATGCAGTTCAGAGATTAACTAATTATACGTGTCGTGACGTGACGCATCAGAACGCTATCGGCCTACTACATGTAGACGGTAGCGACCACAGTTCCTCTCTGTTGGTGTAAAATCAACTTAATGATTTTATATTACTAACAATATACTTTCTTTAATTGGCTACATAGTTTTTGACAAATTATATTTAAATACTGTCTGTACCTTACGCGAGTAGTACAAATTTAAACAAAACACTATAACAGTTTTAGACGCGATAAACTGTTAACTATCAAGTTATATATATCGCGTTTTAAACATTAAAGGGTTTTATTTAAAAGTCAAATTTATGAGAAAAAAAGTTAGACAGTTTAGAGTTAGTAAGTTTAGTTATATCGACTAGTTAACTAAGCTAAGTTACATTGACTTACATCTACTTTGACTCCCTCTAACCTATGTGCGTGCTGTGGCGGTCGCAACCGCGGCATATATCTATAAAACTCTTCGTTGTCTCTGTACCACTTTACGGAATATAACTTGCCGCCTTCCAGGTCGTAATCACACGTCATAGTCACTGACTCACCTCGTTGCTTCATACTTGGCACCGATATACTGACTATTTGGAGACATATAGACACTGCAAACACAGAAACTACTGTTTCATATACTTCTAACTACAAATTATGCGTACACAATCGATATTAAATTACAAATGGATTGAATTATACGATATTTAAATGATACTGATTTATTGATAAACTTCAGTTACCTTTAACAAGAAGAAGAAAAAAATAGCACACCAACGTTCGCAGCTTCATCATTTAAATATATGATTTACATTGCTTAGAATTAAAATTTTAATAATGTAATAGTAGTTTGTCTTTCATAGCGTTATATCTTTGTATCTCGTAGCACCCAAAGCGAGTGCAACGTAGCGGCCCTACAGAGCAACTGTTGCTACGACGCGGTGCTACGAGGGCGATAATGCTACGGGTGACGTTCGTGCAACTTGAAATACGATTATTTATGCACGGTCTAGTTTCATTGGATTACTATTTAACATCTAAAAATTGTTGACAATGTTTGTAAACATCGGAAATAGGGCAAGTGGAATGTTGAACGAAATACAGCATTTATTTGTACAAAAATATTGTAATATTAAGAGTTTAATTATTTTATTAAAACTAGAATAAAATAAGTATAATAGAAATTAAATGTACATGAGCACTCTTTGATACGCTCATTGATAATAATAGGTTTAATATGATTCGGGTTCAAATATAGTTTCGGTAGCAGAATTATGACTTATTTACTTTTGCCTGTATTTGCCTCTTTTTAAATATTATTTATTTATATTTTTTTATTATTTATTAGAGCACACCGTTCTCAGTCTTAATAGGCAGACTCATAAATATATCTATCACATCCCTTCGGTGAGGCTAATAGAAGTTAAAAAGTATAAGAGACACATTATTTTAAGTAAAAAAAATAAAAGTTAACTTTTATAACTAGTTGTTCACTGTTAATAGCTTTTTATTTAAATAAAAAGCGAATAAAAGTGCTTATGAGCGAATATAGAATGAAAAACATTTCCGTTTCCTCAGCATCTTAATGAAAACATTATAAGGCTTTAGGAGGATTTATTTGGGCTTTTGGGCGATTATTGCCGTATCAAAGTGCTGGCCAGTGGATTAGTGGCAGATTTAATAAATAGATAATTTGCTAATGGCACAGTTTTGCCGTCCATTTGCAAACGATATTATGAATTTAATTGTTTTGTCTTTGTGTATACGATATTTCATTTCATTAAACTTATAAAGCATAACCAATTTATTATACATTCTTAGCAATTTATTATACATTGCAAAATATTTACAGAGCGGGATTTAAACCTAAGACGTTTCGTGCTCTTCCAATTCAGCTTCCGTGTTTTGCTACTGGATATTAATCCGTCCGTGCCATATTTTTACAATGAAATCTACATTTTTTTATTAACAGGTGGACACTAATAAATATTCCAATCTTAATCATATTTCTTGAAATATTCCTATCTGAAAATTATCTACCCATCGCTTTAAACAGAATTACATTTTCTTCAAAAACTATTTAACTGCAAGACTTTCTACTTAAAAATGAATAAAGTTCACTCGATAACAATACCGCAGCACTGAATTCAATAAATCGTTTCGACTTTACAATTTCTTTATAGTTCGTCCGACATTCAACTTAATAAAATAGGGCGTGTCCATTATTACAATATTTTCTACTTTTGATACTAAAACCGCTGTAGCAAGGATTTATTGATACCGAGGCTTCCTTTTGATTCGCTTGCTAACGACTCCTCGGGATACCTTTGAATAATTCTCAAGATTATCTGAATTGAGCTAAAATATTCCGTTATACAGGATCAGCGAAACCAGATTAAACGTCTGCATTTAGTTCGACTATCCGACGTACTTTAATTATTGATTACGGCCTTCATTATCATCTTGTAATTTAATGACTGAATCGAATATCATAAAATCTATATAACAGAAGACTTTATACAAAATGGTAAATAAAAAACACAAATAATATGTCTTTAAAAATTATGATTCTGGTATTCGATTTATATCTATTTATGAAATGACATAAACATAAGGCAAGGCAGTGTTTTATATGTAAAACAATATAAGTAAGAACTATGCTTTATTAAATTTTTTCGTGAATTTTAATCGCGTTTCATAATTAACGGGCAAGGGCCCTTAGTATTTTTGATGGCCTCGTTAGTCTCAAGGTAGCAATGTATGCTAGTTACTAATCAACGGGTCGTGGGTGCGATCCCCACCGGGTCCATATTATTTATTCATTATTCTTCTGAAATATGTCTTCGCCTGGAGAGTTGAATATTAAATACGCGGTAGTAATATCAAAATTCCGTCCTGTTCACGAACCACCGTCCACAGACGAAAAAACCCTGAAGTTTAATCTCGTTTCGGTTTCAATCTATGGGTTTCCCAATATCCAAAGCCCAAATTAGATCAACAGGGGATCTTGCTTAGATGTTATATGGCTCGAGTATTTCACCTTTCATCAAGTAAACCTCATGGTCGTCTAAATAAAACACTTTAACGGTTTAAAACGCGATATATTAGTTAAACTTATTTACATATTTTATATTTATTTAAATGTGTACTACTCGCGTAAACTATAGACAGTATCTCATGGTCGTCTCTTCTCTGTTATAAAAAAAAACTTTTTCATATTGAATACAATGTTCATCTTTTATACCTATACTTTTTATTTGAACAAATAAAATTAACCTTTTGTACTTACGGTCTTAATAATGTTTTATTTAATGAGAACCGCCCTCACATTATTTCCTGTTGTCTGTTTTTGACATGAATAATTAAATATGAGATAAAATTTAATTTTGATTTTTCTACGTAATATCCTATTTTTAATTAGAATCTATTGATTCACTAATTACTTCTATTAATTACATTTTACAGTGTTCATATTTGAACACTGTGAAATGTAATTAAGTAGTATTTTTTATCAATTACTGTTCTGTTTTAACCACGAAATCGATTCCTGAGATACGACTAAAGTTATTAAAAGGAAAGACAACTTTAAAATATTAACAAAAGAGCTAATTTGAATTTTAATAAGATATTTTATCCAAGAGTAGATATTAGATAATAACCGTTCCGGTTCCAATAAGGCGTCTTTGTGCTCACGTTGACTTTATCAAGTTTGTTCATTTCTGCCTTGCACCTTATACAAATTGGGTACTAACATCTCTTAACACTTATTTGAAACACTCGAATGGAGCCAGGTGTTTAGTAGAAGTATTTTTAATTAAAAATTTCAGATATACATGTGCGTATGAAACCTTATCGACAAGTTGTTTAAATGTTTATTTCAGCATTATTAAAACATAATTATATATTACGCCTATAATAGTATTAATAACGACATATATATACAATTTCGTCGCTCCTATTAGTGCAGCATGAAGTTTTATAGCCTAAAGCCTTCCACGATTAATGCTTTATATTAAATCTATGGTTTATGTTAAATTTTAGTATATTAGGTGTTTTTATTTAGGCACCAATGAAAATACCAACAAACAGCTTATGTAAATCCGGTAATATAATATAAAACTTAATAGAAAAAGCTGAATTAGGAATAGTATACGTATGGTGAAACAAAATCTAACTCAATATATTATTAAACTTATAAAACTTTATAAGTTAATTAATATATTTAGAATTTTAATGTGTACCACTCGCGTAAAGTATAGACAATCATCAAATATAAAATTATACATCACATAGTGTCCAAACCAACACTCAGATAAATTTCTCCTCTGCGAAGTTTATTAAGGACATCTATTCTTCACTAGTTTAATTGAATTGACGACTCGAAAGTACTCAGACTACGCATTGTAACTTATCCAAGCTTATAATTCGCATTGAAAGCAAATGTGATGAAGCAATTCGCTTCATTTCATCTAACTTCAATGAAAATTATCCACTGTGCATTGAACTGTGGCTTTCATTTGCATCGCGATAAACAAGTTTCAATATGTAATTCGTTAGCCAGGAGGCCATGTTACGCACTAGTCAATTTAATGACTGATTTAACTTAAATTTTTTACCGTTGAACTTATGGAATCAATACTAATATATAAAGCTGAAGAGTTGGGTTGTTTGTTTGAACGCGCACCAGACTATTTGGATTATTTTGTATATACATATAATTAAACTTAGTATCAATCATTATTTTTGTGATGTAAATGGAGGTAGTTAACAAAAAGTTTAAAATAATGTTCGTAATATTCGATGACAACCGTCTAACACTTGGTCGGTTGTTTGTGCATTGTTATAAAAGGGAGTGCGCTGTAAAGGGGGTAGGGCAATTGAGAGAGGCAGTGTTTTGAGAAAACGTACGGCGAACATTGGTGACACCAGAATTAGCTCAACGTATTTTGGAACGTTGGACGTTGGTTGGTCGGACGTTGTTATACCAGGTATGATGCATATTATTATATTGGAATAAATAGGATATGATATATATACTTTTTTATTATATTGAATTGTCATCAATTAAGTATCGTAACCTTGTGTAATATATAGATAAATATCTATTAAAATGTATATAAAATTGGGGTACCATTATTTGTTAAATTCCTAGACGTTTGTATACAATAAATGTGATGCTGTTATTATGGGGAATACGTTGCTGAAATATATCTTGTTCAACGAACTAGAATAGCTTTTGACAGTATATCTTCTTGTTTTTTACATAATATCCTTAAAATCTTATAAAGGTCCAATAGCTATATTTACCTGTAATGTCTATATCTATACTATTAATGTCTATACTAACAAAAATCTAACACGCTCATCTCTGGAACTACTAATTCCAATTGAAAAAATCTTTTGTTTTACTTACAGCATTTCTCGAAGAAGGCTATAGGCTATAAAACATTACACTGCGTGTAATAGAAGTAGACAAATAGCGGGAAATGTAAAAAAAGGGGAAATTTATTCATCCTTTCATTCATTCATCATTGTGGGTTATCTTTGCGTACGCTGCGAAAAAGATATAA